ATTTTCATGCGCCCGGAGCTTGGGAGAGCAACCACGCAATTTCCGGTTCCGATTATTTTGAACCAGTGTGCGCAATCTTGACCCGTTTAGCTTTTCCTTTCCTAATACGCCTTATAACTGGAGCTCATACAATATACGACTTGTATTCGATCAACTTAAAGTTTTATGCACAAAGCATGTACTCGCACATTGATTGCTCATTGATTGCACAGCAATCGAGCAGAAAATCAAGTTTCCGAGTTAAAGGAAACTGTAACAGTTAATGTATCTTTGACCTTTTCAAAAAAGGTTGTCACCAACTTCGTGCGCATGGCCAACCATAACGATAATAATGAAACAAATACATTCAGTGCCTAACTCACATTGTCCTGGGATAACCGCAGCCTCAAATTTATTTTTTTGGTTCAGGGATGTTCTCTTATCATGACGTGTAGAGACCCATCTTTTCCTTCTCTTTCTAAATGCGTCTTTTATCTGTTGAAGTCAAGTGATAAAATTTAGCTCAGTCTAAGTCAGTTATTCAATACCGGTTGAAAGGGATAGATAGATGGATGGATGGATGGATGGATGGATGGATGGATGGATGGATGGATGGATGGATGGATGGATGGATGGATGGATGGATGGATGGATGGATGGATGGATGGATGGATGGATAGATAGATAGATAGATAGATAGATAGATAGATAGATAGATGAATAGATAGACAGATAAATAGCAGAGTCGACTTGTTTAATAATTGCATCATCAGTTTTAACATAAAATGACTGAATCAGCTTAAGCTTACAAGAATGAAAAAGGATAAAATTAGTTTTACAGACATTGAGTCCTAATCTATTAACTTTCATCCATTCGGCAATGTATTTAAGTTCCTGATTTAAGGATGATTCAAGGAGACCGAGGCTCTTGCTATAGAAAAATAGGGGCTAGTATCATCAGCAAATAAATGAAATTTTAGCAAAGACGTATTAGGTAAGTCTTAACAAGTAATAAGATTAAAAGAGGTCCTGGAATAGATAAGTGTGGAAACCACAAGACACAGGTAAAGAGATTGAATTATGGCCATTTACACTTACAAACTGTTCTGTTTGGGATAAATACGAATTAAACCATTTATATGCAGCACCTCTTATTCCCTAATGTTCAAGCTTAGTTAATGAAATTGCATGATTGACAGTGTCAAATGCTTTTTTGCAAATCGACAAATATTCCACAACCAAATTCATTATTATCTATGGACCGGCGAATAGATTCGGTGATAGAAATAAGAGCATGGGAAGGCAAACATTTTTCTCTGAAACCAAGCTGAAATGGATAGAGAATTATTAATCCTTTCAAATAGCTATATAGGCGACGATACAGCTTTCTCAAATAATTTACTAAAGTTGGAAAGAACAGAAACTGGTCTATAATTGTCTTTGTCAAATCTTGAGCCTTTCTTAAAAACAGAGGTTAGCCTTGCTAACTTTACATTATCAGGAAAATTACGACTAGTAAAGGAATCATTGACTAAAAATGGAACACAGATAATGGAACAGGGATAATGCTGGCCAGCAACGGTTAACGATGGAGAACACTGACAAGAACAGCAACCGGAAGATCGACGTCTCGCTTGATGCAACGCTTCTGTCTCACTAAACAAATCTCAATGCCTGTGTTTTAGCTCCCGCCGTATGAAAATTTGTCGAGTGTACAGTACACTGTACCGCAACTGATCCCCGACCGTAAATGATTCCCAGACCGAAACGAACCTCAAAATGGACCGCAAATGATCTTCGACCGCAACTGATCTCCATCGTCGACCACACATGGTCAGGAGAGGAAACTTGGAATGTCCTGGACTTAAGTTACCGGATCATGGTGTCACGTTCTAGTTTATTATTACAAAAAAAAAGTGTTAATTAAACTGAATAAATTTAACACATAATTGTCAAGACTGAAAAGGAAAAACTGTAAAGAAAACACAAATAAATGCAAACAAGAAAAAAAAAACTTGTATTACCTGTTTGTTAAGAACGCAATGAAATATGAAGATCATCAAGCCTTGAAGAGAGTTGAATATGGTGAATATATACTTGAAGATAACGGTATCCGAATTGAAACTCAACAACCCAAAAAGCCAAGTGATTCCAAGCAATGGAAGAATGACCCCAGAGGCCTTGACTCCAGTTCTCACTTTTTCCACCTGTGTCTTGTTCTGCATGTATTTTGTTCCCATCATTTGGCGCATGACCAAAATAAAAACCACGATATTAACCTATAAAAGTTGCATAAATTTTAGCAGATAACCTCCAATCACGTTACTCTTTTAGCTTCAAGGTGGTATATGTCAAGATGATATTGTTTCAGGTCAATTATTTGCTTGGCATTACTTATACCATTTCCATCATACACAAGATGAAGAGTTACGAAGAAGGTTATCAAACAAATTTAATCCGATCAGGGAACCATAACCAAAGTAGTTTTTGGTGATTTTTGGTTTTACTTTTTCAAGTTTCCTTAATTGCCATCCTAGCCGGAGAAAACAGCCGACATTTCGCGACGCTACCACTGGTTTCCCCGCGAAATGGCCCTCAGAAACAAGCGCAGAAATTCCATGCTGATGACGCGTCACTGCCTAGATCTGTTAAGTACATATGATTGGCCGAAGTAAATTGTTCAACCTTCACGACCAATCAGAAGCACTAATCAGATCTGGGTAGTGACGAGCCATCAGTATGGAATTTCTGCGCTCGTTTCTACGTCATTTGGCCCAGCAACCAGTAGTGGTGCCGCAAATTTCGTCTGCTTTCTCAGGCTATTGCCATCCCGATGTAGTAACAAACGACCGAAAACTCAGCCTCAATGTAGTTTTCAATTACAGAACCTTACCATTATTAATGGAATTCAAATTTATGGGAATACACGTTTAACGAAAACAAATTATTCGCATTGACATTTCGACTAGTCGATAACAAGTTTTAAACCTCAGAAATAAAGTCCATGATTTCTCCAGTTTTACAATGTCTATTCCGATATATCTCACTGAAGTTTTAGTAGAATCCAAGATCGTGGCCTATTGTTGGATTGTAAGCCTTTAGAATGACCCGGCTCAGTTGGGTCTGCCATGCCCAAAATAGTTATTATCGTCAAGAGCCTATCATAGACTAGCTTTATGATCTAGACTTTCCTGAAACATTTTAACCCTCGGACGCACAGGAGGGAGGTGGGGGGGGAGTGGATGCCACCCCCTCATAAGGTTTTTCTGAGATTTTTGCTACAGTATAAAACATGTTTTTCAACTCCTTTCAACAATAAAAGTAAATCTTGTGGGTAAAATCATGCATAGTGCTCATTTATGTGTTAAGTTTCATGTAAAGAACAAAAATTACCATTTCTCGCGGTTTTAACCTGATTTCTAATTCTTGGTAAAATCGAAGATGGTGGCCTCTAGGCCTCCAGCAGCGCCACCACCCCTAAAATATACCTCATCTTGTAAAGAAGATCAAAGGTTTTCCACTAAAGATAAAATCTTTTCACAGTACTCCAATAAATCAAAAACTCTGGGGAGGGATCCCATCCCCCCCCCCACCTCCTGTACCACCGTGGGGGCATAAATTTGCGGGAACGTCCGCGGGTTAAAGGAGAGGTGGAAGGGAAGGGAAATTAGGCTTAGTTTCAATAGTTGCCTGCCTCCAACTTAAACTAGGTTGAGGAAAGGGGACTTCAAAACACACTTTGCCCAGATAAAGTATTTTTTATTATATATATCTAGCCGAATTTTTGAAAACATACCTCAAAATGGACCAGAATATTCACACAGAAAGCCGACGATAGCCAGGTTTCTGGTCACTACGGTGAGAAAAAACATAGGGGACTTGCTGTCCTGGTTGGCCTCATTGTCAAGCTCAGTCCCTGAGGGTGCTTCAAAAGCGTTGTACCTTCCGTTAGTCCTGCTCTGGGAGAGTCAGTGCACTGGTCATGTCTGCCTTTGGTTTGTCATGTCAAATTCTTGTAAGGTTTGAGGCCCATTGGCCAATGAAAGCATTCCCCTCAAGCACGTGCTAGGCTGGGGGTGGGGGTGGAGGAAGTCGGGGGGGGGGGTATTTAACCGTGAATTCTCTGCTTAGAACTTGGTTAAGTCTCAAGCATCCTCTGTCATTTAGGGCCTTTAAGCAGCTAGAGTGTATGGACAAGTCCAGAGTGTCTTTTTGATGGACTTGAATGTTTCTTTTGCTAATCAGGAACCAAGAAGAGAGTCACCTTAAGAGAACCATGGGTAAGAGCTGAGATTTTTGGCGATATTTACTTTAGTTGAGTCAGTTTAAGGTGTGTAGGCTCCTGGAGTCCGATGGTACGGTTTTCATAAATCCGGCTAGATATACATATATATATATATATATATATCCCGTCTGAATGACTCGGAAACCCAGGAGAGGGGACTTTAACGAGCTAAAATATTAATAAAAAAGAAACCTGGGGGAGCCTGCCCCCGGATCACCCTCGAAGCTTGTGCCTTCGGCGCTCGTTAGGAAATCGGTCAGTATTTATTCTAAACCCCCCCCCCGGGTTAGGCATGATAAGACTAGACACGTTAAATGTGTTTTTTACTGACCAGAATAACACATAGAGCTGGGACAACAAAGGCCCAAATCAAGCCCTTATCGGCACTCAACCAGCAAGCTTCTTTGTGACCATATCCTTTCAGCTGCGTGACAGACAGCGAAATTAAAACCATTATGGCTGGAAAACCTAGAAATGTTAAGACAAAAGTAGACCCCAATATGACACACACATATAACATTATAACGGCAGCATTCTGCTCTTCGCTGTGTTTTTTTTCCTTTGGTTTGTTTTCTTCGTTCTCTGTACCTGTTTTTGGTTGCTTTCGATATTTTTATTTTATTGTTATTGTTTTTTGTTTGTTTGTTTTTTTTTTCATTTATAGACGCATAGGCTACGTGTAGTCCCTCTTTTTCCTCAGAGCGAGCGAAACGCGAGCGCGCCTTAAAATCACTCGTACTAGACGCATACACGACGCGACAACTTGTTGCCTACCAAGTTTTCTTACAAGAAACCATGAAGTGATGGAATTAAAGCCAGATTCTTCGTCAAGTTGATGTGATATAGAGTGTTTTCACGTGACGTCACGGTGGCCATACTGGTGTCCCAAAACAATGAAACCGCGGCCATGTTGGAGTTCCAAACCAATCATGTGGGAATTGAACCCTTTTCATGTGCAATAAAATTACATTCTAGATACTGGCCACGTGAGTGAAAACGCTCCATAGCCGACAGTACCTCTTATCGTTTAAAAAGTGCACGTCAGCACGTTTACACTTAATCAAATTGAGCTGAACGTGAAGAACTTTATATTCTGAACAATCGCAAGATTTTTCTACGTAGCAGCGTTTTTCTTTTTGTTTGCTGAAAAAAAGTGACACCCCAAGGTTGCGACAAATTCTAACTAATGACAAAATAAGTGAGCAGCATGGACAAAGAAGGGGGATTTTTTTTTAGTTTCTTAATTCAGTCACAACGGCGTTTTAGGGGAGTGATACTTCCTCCCTTAGCACGGCTGACCTAAAATCTCCTTCCTGGTAATTCAGGTATCTTTTATTATTATTTATTTATTTAACAGAAATATCTATTTCAAAGCAATGCGAACAGTCCTGTCTATTCCTGTTTTACAGAGATAATAACAGCCTTACAACGTTATCCATTTCTTCCAACATGAAAATCTTAGAGGTGCACCTACCCCATCCAAACAAGTAAAAGAATTTGACTTTATCCTCATGGTCTCCATGAACAACCCTTACGATAACAATGTAATGCAGTATGCCTTCACACAGCATCCATGAAAATAGGGCGAGCAAAAAATAGTGCAGTAGGGCAGCGACCAAAGTGCACTCGGGCTAGAAGTTAAGATAATACAGAAGACTATAAATGATTTTAAATTATATATTTAATACGCCACTTGCACATCTCCCATAATGCACCTTATTTGCTCCCCAAAATTTTGCATAGCCTTAAGTTTGTTTTTCATTTCTCCTGGGTATTACAGCCGTCCCATTGAAAACAATGCTTATTTCAAGATTCGGAGGAGGGGGGGAGGGGCAAATAGCGTGCATTATGGAGATGTACAAGTGGATTCTAGACTATTTCCCGGTACTTGAATGATCGACAGAGCCTTGTTGCCCTGACTCGATTATCTCATTTGTTTTTTAATAAATTTAACTATTTTTGATGGAATTTAACAAGTTGATAATCGGATGGAAGTGGTATCCTTTGCCATGCTAATTGTTACATTTACATGTTGATTTTACACCGTATAGGCGACCTTTTACTACCAGAATTTATTTCAGTTTTTGCGTTCTTAATATTAGTAAATTTTTCAATCTCACTGAGGATTAAAAATCAATAACCCTCTGATTTACACCAGAAAACCACAAATATTGAAGGATTTTGGAAGTTGTAGGAAAATGACATCATCGTAAGGCAAGTTTTCTATAGAGGGTGGAGTCTACCACGATATGGCCTTCAAATTCGGAACATTGTGTTGTATGGGATTATTTGAGTGGAATGCCGGTAACCTACCCGGCGTTTGTGCGGGCTTGCTGCATTTCTACTTGAAAGAATTTTACATACCTCTTTGTTTCTTGCCGAACCTTCCAATATAACAAGTATGCAGCTACAGGCAATAGCGGCGCATAAGTTTAGCAGAACTTTTACTCTCGGACTTTTAAGTTGCCTCCAGAAGACCAAAGTAACAGCCATGGTGATAAGAACAGCAAACAGCGAGATGGAACAGCCAATTATCGATATGATCTCCAAGGCTTTCTTGTTAGGTAATGAGGTCTTTAAAAAGACATGAGAGTTGGTTAGAATGAACCCCCGTATACTGACTGGACCCGAATACCCTATTTTCGTTAATTGCAATGTTTTGATAAAGTCAAACGTTTTAAGATCCTTTACAAAACATAGGCTTCAGAGTATGTAGCCTGGGATCAGGCTCCTCAGTGGGGCAAAAAGGCAAAAAACGGGGTCAAACAGAAAAAATATCGGCCAAGCAGTATCCTGGGGAGGGAGACAGGGCGGCGGCCACCCTTTCCCCTTCCCAGACTACCTTTCCGCTCTCTTCGCTCTCCGATTTTTTTTTTTTTTTCGCCCACGCCGATTTTTTCTCCTTTTTCTCACAATACGGAACCTGGTCCCACGCTACAGAGTATGTAGCAGAAAGAATAACGCAGTGAATATTAAAATATAAGTTATGATATAGAGTTAACTCATCGAAATACAAAGCATTCCTCGGCATTGGATTAGGACACAGCACAAGCTAAGAATGGGGAGTATTTTAAGGGCGAGACACGTGGCAAAAGTCAATGAAACGTGGCGGATTAAAGGGGCTATGCCATATGCGACATCCACATTTTTTGTTACAGCTGCATTGAGATTATAACTCAGTTTTGTCAGGCATCTTTGCTCATACTTGGAACTCTAAAAAAACTGAATATCAAATAATGATTTTGTCAAAGAGAATGCCAATAAAATGTTTTTGGTCAGTTTCGAAAACGAAAGTTTAACCTAAAACGTCGGCCCAATTATGTAGAGTTACGGCACCAGTCCTTCTCCACCTTGGCCATCGAAAGCCAAAGACATGTAGAAATAAAGCTAAACCATTATTTCATGATTGTCTTTGTTTTCAACATTTTTTGTAATAAAGCTAAGAAAGCTTGGCATAGCTCCTTAAAAGACATGAACGAAAGTAAACAGCGTCTACTCAGTACGAATCTACGTTATCTAATTAAAAGGGAAAAACAATAAAAGAATCAGGACATATCCGCCTCCAAAACATGCAGACAAAATCCAAATTGACTTTTCTTTGTATCACAAATATCCACCTACATCTGAACCGTATGGATCCATAAGAGCAGCAAAGACAGTTAGGTGATCACATTCACAAGTTGTGATAGAGGCGTCTGACTCGCTGCGGACATATTGGCAGCCGCTTGTTTGCCACATCGCGGTTGGTTCTTTTGGGCGCCAAAAGACACAATGCATCTCCTTTGAAGTGACGGCACGAGGAGGCGCCTTATAAAGAAACACAAATAAACTTCAACTGTGTGTTAACTACGCTGTCGCTGGAAATATACTTCACTAAATTTGGTGACCGGCTTTTGCTAAAACACTCGTCTCAGTTCAAACATAGCTAAGAAAGTGGAATGGTTATGAAGCCTTTTTTTCCCCTTCACTTTAACTAACTGTTCTCTCTACTCATTTGAAGACAGTCGAAATGCAAGTAAGACTGAAATAGTGCCGAGCAGTTTATTTTGGAAATTGCAAAAGTCCACGGCAGCAATGACTGAATTTGGCAGCCATAATTATAGTAGAGTGCTTAAATCTTCAACGTGTGTATGGCTCACATCACTGTGTATCAATAGCCAGTCAGAATACACCTAAATCCTAAACCACGTCAACTATTCTTCAACTTCTGGCATTGAGGATCAGGGCCAACGCTAACAAAAGTACTTTTTGAGGAAATACATGCATTATATGCAGCAGTTAAGCGACGATCGACCACTGAGTGGCCGTATTTAAATAAAACTTTGCTACTAAAACCGTGTTTATACCTTTCTGTTTTGAAGGATAATCTTAACAGGGTTCTTTAATTCGTCCAGGGGCCTGGGTTCAACGGTGGAAGAAACGATGGTGCTTTTGGGAAGCATCTTGCCACCAGATTCTTTCTTGAGTGATAACACACCGTCCAGTGTCAAATAAACCAAGGTAACAACTTTGGAATCTTGAGAGGAATGAAACATTTTTGGAGGTAAGAAGATTGAACTCTGATTGTATGCAACCTGTAAACCATCATGGAGTAGCTGAAAGGGAAAAGAAACGAGCGTAACCTCTCATATTAAACATCAAACATGACACAGGAAAGGTCGAATGCAAGCAGGGTCTATTCAGGGGGACTAAAGTCTCTTTCTTAAATACAGGGGAGCCCCGCTTTCGGGACACCCGATTAATACAGACACCCGTATATAATGGGCAGATTCGTTTTTCCGGGCAAACCTACTTAGTATCGAGACTATTGCATGTCCCGTCGGTATCCGTATTAACCGGGCTTTACTGTTTCCCGAAGTTTCAAAACCCTTTGTTTCTCTCACTTACAGGTGGAGTGGCATGATTTCCCTTGCCCCGTCACTTTCAATGTTTCAGGCCACTTTTGTACGTATATGTCAACATCTCGTCTTTTGTTTGTTTGTTTTTGTTTATTGTGGTTGTGGTTGCCTGCATTGTTCAAAGGCCTGGCGTATTGTCTTTATTTGAAGGGTTTGGGTCCGTCAGCTCACAATAAAATTTTACAATCGAAGTATTTTGTTCACGATTGTTGACTTTTATGTATGGTCGTGTTGGATAAATAATTCAGGGAAAAATGATAACAGTTCTTTTGTAAAATTGAAAAAATGGAATAAGAAGAAGAAAGAAGAAGAAGAAGAAGAAGAAGAAGAAGAAGAAGAAGAAGAGGAAGAGGAAGAAGAAGAAGAAGAACAAGAACAAGAACAAGAACAAGAACAAGAAGAAAAAGAAGAAGAATAATAATAAGAAGAACAAGAACAAGAATAAGAAGAAGAACAAGAGGAAGAAACGGTACCAACTTTCCTCACTTGGAGCCAATGGCTGAATTACAGAGGAACCAGAGAGGTGAGATCGGACATCAGCATGTAAAGCAGGTAAAGGTGCACTCTTGCAGCCACTTCGGTTCATATTTTGATCAGACCTCGCCCACCCAGAGCGATGATAACACAAGTCAGATAGACAATGACGTCGGGGCCTACGTCCCCTACTCTTTTCTAACAATGTGACGGGTTCTTTTACGTCTCCTTCCAACTGAACTACAAGGATGAAGGAGACAAGGCCAACGGCTTAACGTCACTGCCCAATGATGCGATCATCTGAACTGAGCTAGCGTGATCTCACCAGTTTTTTTAAGACCTTGGTTGATGGTCCGGCCGGGGTTTGAACTCGCGACCTCCCGCTCAGCAGACCGGCGCTTTTCCAACTGAGCTAACCGGGCGGCGGTGTGTTTCATAAATTTAAGCCTGTTTATTCATGCTAAATATACTTTGAACTACGCATTTATTATTCTAGTACGACAATGAAACAACAAAAAAATAGAGAATGAAGACAAGGGAGAAAGAAATAGTAGGATATCCGCGGCTGGTTACCCAAAGCGTAATCCAGTTTCCATTACCTAGCCTGGTAGGGATTAAATTGAGTGGCACACTGAGTTTTGCGAGGGTTCGCAAGCCACGCATTTCTAAAAGGACCTCTTCACATGAACCCGGTTTACAGGGCTTGCCCAGTTTCCGAGTTCCTATACCTTATCACTAAATACTTTGTAAAATTTACGATGTGTTCAAATGTTGAGAGAGCGGGTTGGCTTGGATACCGAGAGATCTCGTTTTTTCCATCCAGGGTCTCGGTAAACGGGCTTCCATATGAACACTTCAGCCTGTTTACCTGGACGAAAGTGGGATGAATTGATGGGCCTGGAGTCGACTTGTTTTGCCTGCTGTATTTCCACCTCGTAAGCATCCCATGTAACTGACATGATACTGAACAGCCATAACAGTTGCTAACGCTATGATAGGCGCGAGAGTTATAAATTTACGTGTTTCGTCACGTTTGCTTGGCTTAACGAATTTCGCTCCAAACCCGTTGCCAGGATCTTCGGTTTTTTCTTATTTCGAAAACCGAACTGAATTCTTCTTATGTGAACCCAAGGCGAAATGGGCGTGCCCCGTCAACATGGCTCATGTGAAGAGGCTGTAATAACAATGTATTGATAGAGTACAGGTTGAGTTGTTTGTACCGGGCTGTCTTGATCAACGTGATCAATCCTCATCATCAAATTTTTTGATTGAAAATCCATTTTCGTCGATGCGTTAAGTGTAGCTGCGACTCCCAGTCCATAAGCATCCATTGTGTAAACCATCATCAGACTCTTGTTTTGGCCAGCCTGTGAAGAATTCGAAAGGGACAGACTGCAAATAATTGTCGTTGCTGAAAGAATCCTGTCTCCACCTTAGAAGTTGGTAGAGTCTATAGATACTATACCTCGAAAGAAGGTCGGACGCCTAATGGGGTTTAGAAAACGCAGTATTCGTTGTAGCGTTTTAAGAAGAACAGTTGCCTACGTAGGAAATTAATTACTATGAAATTAAAAAAAGTGCGAAAATAGAGCTGCGGTTATGTTTTGCAACTATGTATAGTGAGTAGTAGGGGGGAGGAACCGATTAGGCCTTTTCCATACGGGGGGATTTCATTAACTTGCGAGGCAATACGGTAACGCCGATGACGTCATGCATCTCATTAACATAGGATGATGTCATGGTTTATTTTTAGCTGGCTGGGAGCAAGTGACGTCAGAATTTCCTAGGAGTTGAAGTCATCAAAAAATGTTGAGATCATAATCTATAAATAGAAAAGTGATATCAATTCACAACTTGGTCATGATGATGTCATATTTATTCAGGTAAGATGATTTCATGGTTTATTTTCTCCTGCGAGTCTTTTCTATTGTTTCGAAACATACTTTGATCATTAATTATTTTCACTAAAAATCGGTTATAAACAAAACCAAGACACAGAGGTTAACTGAAAAATCTTTATTTCAAAAGAAGGAAAGCAAAATCGTACTGATTTTTTAGGCAAAACATGAAAACGAGGTCGAAGCGCAGCGAAGCGAAAAACTACCTGTCAAGCAAAAATGTCAATCTTTGTTTACTAGACTCTGTAGAAAGTATTGTAAAGTATATAAAAATTCTATAGAAAACAACAGGTGGTTCTAAAGTAAACCTTTCTCTTTTCGGTCTTAAATAAATTAAACCCCATTCTAGTACCTAATGAGGGGAACGTCTATTAAAAAATAGGAATAAGAGGTGTGATCGCCTAGCAACACGAGAAAAGACTTATGTCTTCTATTTAGCGCTAATTAAAAATCGGACATGTAAACAAAACACACACACGGCATACAGGAAGTGGAGCTGAAAACTCTCTATCGTCGTTCTATCTCGAGGAAACGACTAACTATTGAAGTCTCAGTTCTTGGTGAGATTATTGTCTTGTTTCACGCGCCGTTAGTCAGTTAATTATGCGAGTTAACAACCCCACATTTGCATACAATTGTTATAAAAACACAAAACAATTATTAACTTAACAAGGATCAATTAAACACGCTACAAATAAATTGAGAAGACAAGAGATACCGTTTTAAAAACTTTATTTAAAACCAATGACAAAAAGAGTCAAATACACAGCGATTTGAAAGGGATTATGGACATTAATCATCTTCTTCGCACATGGAGTACTTGTAAGGTCTAACTCGAAATTTCTTATGCCGAGTTCGTTTCCTCTGTTTGCCATGAGGATAAATATCATCCAAATAATTTACAAACTGAATCAGACGCCTTTTGCGCTTCGGGTCTTGTGATGGGAGGAGGGGTCAGGAAAGCAGGATTTAAGGGTGGTGGTGTGGTGGAGCTTTCTTTTTCAGGTTTTTGTAAGATAGCCGCTTGTGTAAAATTTGGTGTTACGTTGAAGGGGTTAAGGGGAGTGGAGAATGCTGCCGTTGTTGTCGAAGAATCTTGTGTGCTTTATGTTAAGTCTAGGACAGTGCTGATTATTTCTTCCGGTCGTGTTCTTGTATTTAATTGTTATTTAAAAGCCAGGTACCTGTTTTGCAACCGAAAGTATCGCTTAACTTTTTCATCGTCCCGAAGATCGTTTCGAGAAAGCATGTCATCCATGTTGCCCTGTATTTCTTGCACAGCTGGGAGAAGTGGGACAGGCGAAAGAGTTTGATATTTTAGAAGCTCTTGAGAAATATTTTCTTGAAACCCTGCTTGGTTAAAGCCTTCTTCACTGGATAGGACGTTTGTTCGCAGTCGACAATTATCTTGAGTAGTAGTTTTCAGATCAATCTGCAGATAACCAAAAGGTATTTTGACAACCTCTTCGTACTGATTTAAAAAGAAATCAGTTTGCCCGGGATATATTTCTTGGCAAGAGTCAAGATTTGCAATTTGTCTCGTGGATTCTTGAATAGCACCAAATAATGGCTGTTTAGGTTTATGCTGTGACTACCTTTCCCCTGATGATGATGTACATCATCCGCTGACCAGTATCACTTGAACGTATCGCGGGCTCAGGTTTCGACTCATCGGAACTAGAAGTTTTCAAATGATTGCAGGCTCAAGTTTAATTTTTTTTTAATTCATATGAAATATGTTGAATTTATGTGCCGCACATTTAAAATTTTGATGTCAAACTGACCTCGGACGCGAAAATTCAGCCAGCGGCTACAAGCAGGGAGGACAGTTGCTTTTCACTTTTCTCACCATGTTCACGCGTTGGTCACGCTCTACGTCCAATTTTTATGTTCTGATTGGTCAAAATTTGACAGGTGACTTCATGCGGAAAATTTATGCAGCATCTTGAATCTTGTTTACTATGACAGCTGAAGCTGACAGAGTGTTGGGTCAACTTGTGATGTTCTTAACTGTCTTTTTCCACTGGATGTACAAAATGAAATTTAGCTGCTATCAGGAGTTTTCTGTTATTCATGGCTAGTTTGTTTATTGGGTTTTTGGTTGAGAAATACGTCACTTGTCGAAGTCGAAAATCCTATTTCGGATGGCATCGTTTTTGTTTTCACCTTGGTTGATGCGTAAGAGGGTTGCAAAGTCTGAAGCGATACTGTCCTTACTTGATACCTTTCAGGAGCTGCATCTCGAGTGGTAAGCCTGAGTAATTATTGTATTTGATGTTTGTTGTTTATTTCTAATTTAATGAAGTCCAGCGTAATTTATGCGGCTATTTTGTTGCGCACGTTTGTAAGATTTGAGACAATGATCTGACCGAGTATCAGGTTTGTCATAAGCTTACAGATCTTTAAAAAGCCTTTAGGCAGGCATTTTCTCGCCGCAAATAGAAAGAAAACGTTCCAAAGAATATTTAGTTATAATTCTGACTGTAAAAGAAGGCTTTGAGCGATTTTCTTGCCTCGAGTTCGTCTTTTAAAAAAAGCAAACACCGGGAAGCCGGCTCAAGTGTCATAGTCTGAGAAAGTGTTCCAGGGGCGAAAAGTTGTGGTCAACAGATTGGGCTGAAACTTGACACAGAAGTTGGGTGTCATGAGATATTTCCAAAGCCACTTTAGCTCACTTCTCTGACTTTTAGGTTTGGAGTTACGGGGGGGGGGGAGGGGGTGGTGGGGGGTCTCGTTTTTTGCCCTTTGGACACCAAAAATCCAGCCTCCCAGGGGGCATTTTAAAAGTGCCATAACAGCCCACTAGTAAATTTTGCTGCCAAATGAATTTATTATAATAGAGCTCTCCATTTATGCATGAAACTTTGTCCTCGAGGTATTGCATAGAGAGGAGCCTGGGGCTAGAGTTTGGCCAAAATTGATGTCAAAATTACAACCCAAAATAGCCATTTTCAAAATTTCGGTATATTCAGCTTCCTTCTTGCATAACGTCCATACCTATACCACTGTTTACTTTAGTCACCCAATTATCAAAATCAGTTGAGAAAAATTTGGCTAATTATGCTTTATTGAATTTTTGGAACAAACACTTCATGCCCCTCTAAGGCGATGCAAAATGGAATTTTGAGCATAATTCACGCCATAAACAAATCAAATTGTTCACAAGAAGCCCTTATTCTGTAATTGGTAAGTAAAAATGAATTGTCAAACCCAAATCAGTTTCGTTGTTTAGAAATACACCGACTCTTACCTTAAAATTGATCTAAAACGAGCCTCTGATTAGCACAACAAACACATGATGTAGCAAAACAAGGGTGACTTTTTTTTTCCTTGAAAACCTAGTAACCATCATAGAACACAAATGATTTTTACCAGATAAAGTAAGCTTAACAAAATGTTCCTTAACACATAATCTTCGTCTGACCTTGAAATAGCCTGTTGTAAATACCCATCAGCAAAGGAGCATGACCATACATACATAGATTATACAAACAAATATGAGCTTCAGTGAGCAGTATCGAGGTGACCTCTGATTTCCGAGTCCTTTAGAGCTGAAAAAATGAAACCATCCATCCGCAGTTAAGAGAGCTGGATAATAAAAAGCTTTTGTTGCTTTTTTTTAAAGAAAATAACCCCAACAAAGCCTTGTATTGAAATGATAAAATTGTGATTATATCAAGTCATCTGGCCCGCCATTTTGGACTTGGAGAGAGTGGGGACTGGAGTAATGCTAAACGGGGACGACAATGAAAATGGCTTCAAGACCGTGAATAGTTCTAATCAGCAAAAAAAAAACAAATTGCACGTGCAGTAAACTTTTTCTAATTAGCAAAAACAAATTTGCACGTGCAGCACGCTCTTGCCGTTGTTTTGTACGACTGCAACGCTGTTTTGCACGACTAAAACGTCAAACTTCCTAGTTACACATTATTTCTATGGAGAAATTGTCGTATGTGCTTACCCAATATTTTGTTTCCTGTGTTCATGTTCGCTTTTATTTTTCACTGCCGCTCATTTTCACCTTGCTGGCCGCTAGCATTTCTCATTTTCTCACCGCCGCTTTGAATTTCCATGTTTTTCTTCCTACGAAATTCGCCTCCTTTGTTTTCAATAACTCGCTGTAGCTCTTTCTCTGTTATCCACGTTAGTGTAAACATAATTAATAACGCCGAAAAAGACACGACTTTGCTGTTGTTTTTTCTTTCTAAAAGTCTGTTGATTGAGTTGGTATGCCTGTGGTGTGGACGGGCGGTCGATCGGTCGATCGGTGTAGATTACCACATTTCCTTAAAGCGCCGCGCGTGGAGCTCCGCTATAAAAGGTTGGTTTACACGCACCCAGATTTGTTGGGAAGATTTTGTAAAGTAAACTTGTCGACCGCAAAAAATTCGGCCTGATTTTTTTCAGGCCTAATTAATCTACTGTGATCAAGAGCCATTATGGCTCTTAATAAATGTGATGGAAGATGATTGCCAGTTTTGGGGTGTACATATGAGGCTATCAACTCGTTTGATTCACTCTTGGGCTGTTTACAAATTATTTCTCTCTAAAATCACTTAGTCTTTCCCTGAAAAGTCACATGAATGTGCTCTAAAGTTAACTGAATTGTGGAATACAAGTGTATCGTTTGATTTAAATTATAAATTTATTAATGGGAGCCTTGCTTTTAACCCTGGTTAAATCTATATATTATGCATGTTGTTTTCTTAACATCGTTCTATGCCAGTACTGGGGCTGTGCAACATAGATCTTTGAGCCCGTTGGAATACTTCAGCTTGGGGCGCGTCCCAGCTGAAGAGAACGTCTCTCTTTGTGAGCTCCCTTAGGGGAGTTTCAACCTCGGCTAGCATAGGTAGGAACTTGGCCAGGTGCTGTATGGAACCCAAGAACCGCCATATATCTTCCTTTGCTGTTGGGGGAGGCATCTCCTCCATGGCTCGTACTTTTTCAGGGTCTGGTTTTTGGCCTTTCCGCGCATGTGATGTGACCCACGTACGGCACCTGCTGTTTTCGTACTCTAACTTTGTCAAAGTTAAGCTTCAGGTTGTAACTCTTGACACGCCAGAGTACTTTCTCTAGGACTGAATCATGGTGTGAGATGTCGCGCCCAGCAACGAGTATGTCATCCATTATCGCGTATGCATGGTCAAGTCCTTCTAGCATTTCATCCATGGCTCTTTGGTACATTTCCAGGGCTGATTTAATACCCATCTGTACCTTTCAGTTGGAGTGTTCATTGTTGTCAGAAGGCTGGACTCAAAGTCTAGCTTCAATTGAAGATACTCGCTCTTGGCATCAAGGACTGTAAAGAATGTGGCGTCATGTATCTTGGCTACGATCTCGTCTGCTGAAGTTATCGGGTAGTGTTCGCGTATGACTGAATCGTTCAGGTCCGCCGGGTCTAGGCAAATCCTGATCTTTTCTCCTCGGCTTGAGACAACCATGGAGTTCACCCAATCCCTTGGTTGTATCACTTTGGCTAGGTGTCCTTCCTTTTCCTTTTCATTCAGCTTATCCACGACCTTAGGAAGGAGTGCAGCTGGTTGTCTCCAGGGGCCACGCACTACTGGCTTAGCAGTGGGGTCAATTTTAATGGAGTATGTTCCAAGCATGGCTCCTGATGCATTCTCTAGACCAGGGTGACGGTCTAAGAGCTCCTTGAGGTCTTTGTCTAGCTGGTGTACTCTTAAGGGCTTGACAGGCCTTGCCCGAGAGTATGGGGTTTTGTTTGCTGTCAATGAGATAGAACTTCAACCATGACTCTCGGTCTTTGAATCTTTCAGGGAGGGTGGTGTAACCTCTTGGTGACATTCGTTGTTGTCTAAAGCAGACATAGGATCTGCTTGGTTTTCTTGACCTGGGCATTTGGCGCTACTTGTTGTAGTTAGGAGATGTTAATGACATTAACATGCGCGCTAGTTTCCAGCTGACATCGTAGGGTACTGCTACCCACTTCCAAAGTCTCCCACCATTCATCTTCATCGCAGCAGTGTGATTTGTTACAAACGCCGTTCATCTCTAGGTTAGCTTTGCATAGTAGGTGTACATTCACGTATTCCTCGTTATCACTGGAATAGGCATTATTGGGGTAGACCTCCTCATTAAGTGAGTTAACTCGGTTCTTTTGACTCCTGGACAGTTGGGCGAAGTGTCCTAATTTGTTACATTTGTTCCATGGTTCATTCTTGGCTGGACATTTCTCTTGTGGCTTGTTGGGACGATAACCACATTTTCCACATTTGTCTTGCTGGTCATTAGTCTCTGGTGGCTGTTTGTATTTCTTTTGTTTTGTGCGCCTTTTGGCTGGGACAGGTTTTGTTGTTACTTTATTGACCGCCACTCTAGGGTCTTCTCCTGCCATGACTTGGTTGCTTCGAAAATTCGGCCTATATCAATGGCTGAGTCAAGGGTAAGGTGTTTGCTTTTCTCTTTGCTTTTTCTCGAGGCAGCGTTGACGTCCTCGCTTATCCAACGATTTGCAGGCTATGGCGTTCCGAATTAATTTCTCAGTCTCCGTTATGTCCAGACCCTGGGCCAAAGTTTCAGATCGGTGACAAAGCTATCGAAAGTTTCCCCTGGCAACTGACGTCTTCGGTCAAACTTGACCGCCGCCATGATTGGATTTGTCTTAGCTTCTACGTGTGCTTTGAATTTACCGGCGACTCCTTCGAGTATATATTTTTCGCTGACATTTTGCGTGGTTTCTGCCGTCCCTACTTGAACAGTTTGCCAGTCGAAGGTCAAATAAATTTCTCGGCCTTTGTCGCCAACAAAGCTCATGAGGTTGCATATTTTCTCCTTCTACATGTATTTGTTGGGGGGCCCGCTGGAGGTAAATTCACAGTGTTCATAAAACCTCTCCCATTCCTTGCTCAAATCTGCCGCTGCCCAATTCATGTTCGGCCAGTTGTACGATGCATTAGCGTATCCTTCCGCCATGTTTATCCGGTTTGTGTTGTCTTTGTGGTTCGAAATCCCACTACTTGGACACCATGTTATGCATTCACCACATACAGGCCATGTTGGATCACAAATCGACTCGCGGGGTTTAATGTGATTTGCTAAGACTACAACTACAACAAACAAAAACTGTAGGTGCGATACAATAAGACCAGCGGTATATAACAGTGGGCTTGTTAACTCGCATAATTAACTGACTAACGGCGTGTGAAAGAAGACAACAATCTCACCAAGAACTGAGACTTCAATAGTTAGTCGATTCCTCGAGATAGAACGACGGAGAAAATGGTTTTCTAATTTATAGTCCATCAAAATTGAAATAATTGAAATAGAGAGTTTTCAGCTCCACTTTCTGTATGTTTGTGTTTGTGTTGTGTTTATATATCCGATTTCTAGCGCTAAATAGAGGACATAAACCGTTTCTCGCGTTGTTAGTTGATCACGCCTCTTATTCCTGTTCTTTAAATAGACGTTCCACTCATTCGGCACTAGAATGGAGTTTATTTAAGAACCAAAAGAGGAAGGGTTTACTTTAGAACCAGCTGTTGTTTTCTATAGAATTTTTATACCCTGTACAATACTTTCTACAGAATCTAGTAAACAAAGATTGACATTTTTGCTTGGCAGGCAGTTTTTCGCTTCGCTGCGCTTCGACCTCGTTTTCGTGTTTTGCCCGAAAAATCAGTACGATTTCGCATTCAGCTAACCCCCTTTTTCCTTCTTTTGAAATAAAGATTTTTTAGTTAACCTCTGCGTCTTGGTTTTGTTTATATCCGATGTTTAGTGAAAATAATTTAATGATGATAGTGTGTTTTGAAACAATAGAGAAAACTGGCAGGTAAAAATAAACCATAAAATCATCTTACCTGAAAAATATATGACATCATCATGACCAAGTAGGGACATGATATCACTTTTCTATTTACAGATTATTATGATCTCAACATTTTTTTGATGACTTCAACCCCTAAGAAATTCTGACGTCACTTGCTCCTTGCCAGCTAAAACTATACTATGACATCATCCTATCTTAATGAGATGTATGACGTCATCGGCGTTAATGCATTTCCCCGCAAGTTAATGAAATTCCCCCCGCATGGAAAAGGCCTAACCGTTCCCTTTCCCACCACTATAGTGATTAGGGTAAATTAGGCACTGATTTAAGATGGTTACCTTTTATTTACTGTTTTGTAAACTCAATAGAAATACTCTATCAAATTATGAAAAGTTGAAGCCAAGTTGGTAGGAAAAGAAAAAAATAGAGCTGCAATTTTGCTTTGCACTGATTTATGGTGATTGGAAATAGTATTAAATTACGGCTGGTACCGAATTCACCTTTAGTGGAGTGGCTATTAATAAAGGTACTAAACCGTGTTCAAGGATCCCTGAGGCATATGGAAGGCGAGGATTTGTAGGCAGGAGGCTTAAGTTAGTTCTATGAAACCGGTAGCCAACGCAATGTTCCAAATCATTTAGTCTTGGTTGATAGAACAAAATTGATCTAACCTTTAGAAAAATGTCCGATGTCTTCACATTTCACTGACATTTGTGCTGAAGAGAAATATTTGAAGATAAAGGACTTCTAGCTAGTCTTCGGTCAACAAGAAATTGGCAATGTTTCCATTCAGCTTATACAAGTTTAAAGAACTTACTCTATCAAGATCCACCCAAGTTCCTCTGTTTACTGGCTCCATTAAATTACTGGCCACTTGTACGTAATTTTGGAAATCTTCTTTCGAACTAACGTTGCCAAATCTAGCATTATATTCAGCCGTTTGAGAAAGTATATCCATTGCTATAATCAAGTCTCCCCCATAGATATGTGCTGGTCTTGAGGAACTGTTATTTCTTGGCTGCGTAAAATTGAATAGTTTTAAAAGCACTTGTCCAACATTGAGGTCTGGATGAAGGCCATCCATAATTGTGTGCATCTAAACGAGAAGGGCAATTTAAAATAATGAGGCTCAGGTTAAAGAAGACTTACTTTTAAGGCCTCGTCCATACAAATCCAGACAGGCTGAAAATACCCGATTGTAATCATCAAAAGAAAGAGAGAAAGAGAGAAAGAGAGAGAGAAAGAATGAAAGAAAGAAAAAGAAAAGATTCGTGTGGACGAAGCCTTGTAAGCTGTATAATGGGCGACTGTCGATTAGCCACCCCCATTGATTTCATCCGATTTCATTTTTTCTTTTTTGTTTTTTTTTCACTTTGAACTTTTGGTTATTATCGCTTAGAAAATGGGAGATAGTTTCGTAACCACTTATTTTCTTTCGTTTTCTTTGTTTGTTTGTTTGTTTGTTTTTCTAGTAAAGATTTTCTCTTCTCAGATGATTAAGATAACTATATACCATGTTAGCAAGCTTGAGAAACTCAGAAGAAGTGCAGTCTGTAAAGTTAGGCTTTCTCCAATTTCCTGCCTTAGAACACTTTCGCGACGAAGAGCCTACAATGAAAGAAACGTATAAATAGGAAACTCTACTGAAAATTGATTGAGGGTGGTGATGTTGTTGAATTGCTCTGTTTATAAGATAAGCTGATAATACCCCTCTCATCTCGTTTCATTTCCCTATACAGTCAACTCTCGCCTTTCGGACACCTCGCTATAAAGGGCACCTCGATAAAACGGATAGCAGCTAAATCCAAAGCAAAAATAATTTACAGACGTTTGACTGAAATAAACTCCCGCTAATGAGGACACTAGCTCGAGGTCCCTATAAAGGGAGTTGACGGTACCCCGCACATCTTTCGTACTTGTTTCTGGAACATACTCCCGAAGTCTTCCGAAAAACGCTGCAAGCAACATGCAAATTGCAAATAACTCTGCTGTAGTTGGAGAACGTTCAACATACTTTTTTCAAACTGCGGTGTGTGTTGATGAAAGAATTTGAAAGTACCTCCGAGCACGTGGAACAACGAAGGCGTGATCCACAACTGATTGGACGATCAAAGTGACTTAATGCACTTGGGGAATGTTTTCTAGCATTGAAGACATGTTCTGCTGTATAGGTACCTCTTGTTTGACTGTGTTACATGTAATTCTATTCACCATTTATTTTGGTAGAATTACAGGTTTTTTTTTGTTTTTTTTTTAATGAGAATATATAGTTTGTGAGAGCTATGATGTTATACTGATGGCTTTCATGAGCGAACGTTTTATCTCATGCTTAACCTGTAGCTCCCTCTGGACAAGGCTTGATATCTGTTTGTCCTCCTCTAGTAGCTGACCATGATACTCCATTCTTCGATTGCGGTGGGCATTCTAACGCATCTGGGGATGAACAAATTCAGGAATGGCAGTGAGTCAGTGTAAATACTGAAGAAGAAATGGGTTTAGTCCGCAAGTTCGGGCGATAAAACTGGATCTCAACTAAAGCATAAATTTCGATTGTAACAGTACTGTCCATTTCTTAAATTAAAATATTTATTTATATCTTGATCGAGCAATTCAGATTAAGCCATCCGATCCGAGTCGATTGTAATTGAGAGCTGAAATGATTTGAGAAACTCTGTTTATCAAAGTGTTTTAACTTACATGCAACATTGATATGTGTGATTGGCGATGGGTGATACATAGATGATGTTGTTGATGGTATTAGAAAGAAAAAAACAAGAAGAGTGTAGACATACGAAAAGCATTAATAACAACTTTGCAAGAAAGTAGTTAGGTTATTCGTAGACGCCAGCACGGATTCACGTTCGCGTTCGCAGTTACCTTTTTTCAAAATAATTATGATTGAATTCGACATCACCGCTGCTAATTTAAATAACTAATGTACTTTTATTACATGGCTGAATCAGCCGGCGAGCGGCCAAGATGTAGGAAGATAGGTTAATCTTGTCCGCTCAGGATTTACCGCGTTATATTATGGTTCCTACAAGACGCACGCTTTTTGTACAAATGTACTTTTTTGCATCAAATGGAATAATAATAATAATAATAATAATAATAATAATATAACAATAATGATAATGACAATGATAAATGATGATAATAATAATAATAATGTATTTTTTTTAATTTTAAACATTTTGCTTGAAAAAAAGAAAAAACTATTCATTCAAAACACTATTTACAATTCCTGTCGATTTAAAAAGCACTCAATATAGCTTAGAAAGAGTTTATTTAACTAAGAAAAATTATTCGAATTAAGAACATTTCATTTCAATAAAAAACTATCAGCCTCTAAAATTCAAAAGTTTATTTCAAATGTTTAAAAAATAAATTAATTAATAATAATAATAATAATAGGTATGAACACAAGCCCGAGACGGTTACCGAAAAGGAAGAAGTCACAATTCTCTGGGATATGCAGACAGATACGGATAGGGAACCGTCAGCGAACAAGCCTGATATAGTGACCAAGGACCACGCTGGGACAACTAGGGCTATGCGCATTTTAGTCTTTGCAAGCAGGCAAGCACTTCTATCTAGCAAGTTTCTTTTAGCTTTTCAAGTAATTTTCTTTTGGTTCTATCATCATTTCTCGCTGGACCGAAACACCTCGACGAAAGTCAATGAAAAGCTCACTAAATACAAAGATCTTGAGATTAAAACCACGAGAATGTAAAGAATAAGGACAGAGACTGTGCTAGTTATTGTTGGTGCGATGGACTAGAATTTAGGATATACTGAGAAGGTTTCTGTCCATCAAATCGAAAAATCCCCTGCTACCTCAGGACCAAGGATTGGCCCCAGTTCTAGGAGAGTGTAGGAAGTAATTAATAGCACTGAAAACGTTTATAATAATAATAATAATAATAATAATAATAATAATAATAATAATAAAATAAATAAGAAAGAAATATATTTCTGAAAATGTACAGGCTGTTATCGCACGAAAGAGAACTTCTGTTTGTGAAGGTCTAGCTCTGTCTGACTCGTTAAGAAATGAGTATTGGCAACACTCTACAAGTGAAGAAGTTAATTAAGATTAATGAGTGAAACAAACATCCCAGGAAACCTTATTTTTAACCCTTCGACGACTACTTTGATCGTTTTCGTTCCATGTGGAACTATGCATATCTTCCTTCCTAGACATATTTTGCTTTCCGTTTAAGTTATAATTTGGTAAGCAACAACGTCAGCAAAGATAGATCTTTCCAGTGATACCTCGTTTTAGATATTCTGACCAATCCTGACAGACTTACACCCACAAAAAAGGTAACATTTTGGGGAAAAATCCACTGCCGATTTCGCTAGCGAGAGAGAACCATTGATTAAATAGATTCGCAAAAAATAATACGCATGCGTGAAAAACAAAAAAAAGTGTTTAGTTCAGTCAAATTGGTCGGAAAATATGCCTTTTTTCCTTACAAAACTCGTTTTTAAACATTCTTAAGCTAATTAGCCAAAAACCGATCAAAAGAAGAGGAATTGATGAAAAATGCGTCTTTTTCGCTCCTTGCCGGCCGTCATAAAAGGGTTAAACAGCTTTCCCCTACAGTTATAGTAGATTTGCTCACCTCGGATTTCACCAGTAAATCGTGGCTTTGCAGGTTTAGATGTTGGCACTAAACAAAATAAATAAATAAATAAATATGGAGAGTTTTTTCATCTTAGTCCACACGACAAATAGTCCCTCAGACATTTTCCTCAGGGTCAGTGCTTGTTGAGCGAGCAAAATTCTAGCCTGTTCAAAGACCCTCTATTTTCTCTTCAGATAGACCTCTTCGTTCAAACAAATGTTTATTTTTTTTCCGGACAAAAGCTCCAAAATCTGTAAAATGGGTGTTATAAAAATATAACAGTACAACCTTTGCTGTTTTCTCTTTTCCTCCTTTCTTCCTCCTAACTCTTTCTTTATCGCCATTCCTTTTCCTTAGTTCGAGTTGGTATGATTTTCAAGCTTATCGGACGTAAAAAAATTCCTGCTATTTGGCCCTTTTTCACTCAAATGGCTGTACATTTCGTTAGAACGTTTGCAAAAAACCGGCTAGATATATAACTTTCTATTTTACTATTAATAAATCGGGCCTTTCTATAACTATCACTGTTACCGACTGTCCCTAATTGGAAGAACCGTATATTTTAGTTTGTTCGTTTTTGACATATTTATTGCTTCAATTTTACTTTTTTACCTTGCTGCTGACCCTGAAACTGGACTTCACAAGCTTCTGCGATACGATAAACGCTTTTCTCGATATTGTCTCTACCGTCATCGTCATCGTTTAATATCGTTATATATATCGTTATCGTTGTCGTTGTCGTTATCGTGATCACTCATACTCGAAGTTGTTTTTGTTTGCTATAATACGTAATTCATGAGAACGAGGAAAAAAAAAACAAACAAACAAAAAAAGAAAAAACACTCCTACACCTGTATAAGCCTCACTTATCCGTGCTCATCTTCCCACGCTAGGTGCTTAATGTATTCATTTGGTTTGTTTGTTTGTTTGATTATTTAATTATTTTTTTCCAGCGAAGACGTGCTCCCTCTTCGCTTGTCAACATGATATATTTTAATGTGTGATTCCAGAAAATATCCAGACCCCCATCACGGAGGGAATTGGAAATTTCAAAGGGATGGGGGTTCAGGAGCCCAGGAAATTCCAGAGGGGATGCGGGTTGGACAATTTTCCATGGGGATAATACAGTCAAACCTCTTTAATACGGACACTAAAGGGACAGAACCAGAACCGCTTTACAGAGGTGTCCGTATTATAGAGGTAGGGAATGTATGATTTTTGGCATTTCTGGGACCAAACGAACTGTCCGTAATAGGGAGGTGTCCGTATTATAGAGGTGAACGTAAGGAGAAGTAAGACTGTATCACTGAATTTATTTTTGACCTGAGTTCGAAAACTGCTTCTTACCGACCTGGTAGATCATTCTTAAGACATAGATAACTTGAAATATATCATTTATGATTGTTCTTTTTTATCTTATTCAGGTTTTCTTTCTTCTTTTGGATGCAATTTCAAAAGAATTAGTCCGACTACGACTCGTTCTATCACATGTTCGTAGATTCGGCCGCCATTACTCGTTACAATAAGTCCCCCTAAAGACATCAACGCGTTTTGCAACACATCACGTTGTGCCAATCAATCGAAAACAGAGAACGTTTCGCTTCAAAGCGGGAGGTAAAATTAATGTCACGATTTCAGAATTTTTCTCCGTCTTCTGTTTGAAAGCGTGATATGTTTGAGATCGCATTCAATGCTAAAATGTCACTACAACATTCAACCAACATTCAAAAATACGGTCATTTTTTAACTACGCGTCCTGTCGGGTCAGTCGATGAGAGAACAGTACAGTGCAATCTTCCTTCACGAAGTGCAAGCTATACTTTATAACTATTTCAGAATCTAAAGGTCACTACCACTATGAAACTGAGATTTGTGAAAATCCCATGAAAATCACTTGAAAATACCATGAACATCATTTCATGGCCAATGAATCTTGCAAAATAATTTTTCATGACCTCATCTGTGGCCATGAAATTTTCGTGGAAAAAAAGTTCAAGGTGTTTCATGGCCCATGAATTAAACTGGACTACTTTCATGGGTCATGAATTTCCAATGAAACACCACATTATGGAAACATACCAAGAAAGTTCAATGATGGAGCCATGAAAAACGTTTAATGGGCCATGAAATAAATACTGAATTTGATTTGTGAGTCATGAAAAATGTATGAATGATTTCATGGCTCATTAATTTCCCATGAAAATGCTGATGATGAAAGCAGTGCCACTGTGAATTAATGCCTTGAATAAATATTTAACAACTTTGCAGCAAGAACACTGCATTCCATAATATTTACAAAATGTACATGTATTCAATAAATGAAATAGTACGTTTTGGGTTGTACTAGAATTAGCTATACACTAACGAAACTAGTACTTTGGGCTGCACTATTAACAGTCAACTTTCAACAAGACAGATCCACTCTGAGACCAGCTAGCACAACATCTTAAGTTTTTGTCTATTGTATCAATAGTTAGAGAAAAAGACAGACACATGTATGAACAGGCTCCAAGTACCTCTTTAAAGAAAGTTGACTGTACTGTACATGTATGTGCTACTCAACATGAATTAAACATGCAATGTACAATACCATTCAGATGTGTATACTTATTATAAAAACATCTGAATACACTGTATTTAAAAAAATACCAGCGAAATTCTATCCATGCATGTAGAGGTATACGCTATCTACTGCATGGTTCGATTATAAAATGGTTTCATCTGCTCAAGAGAAAACAAAGGAGTTAAATATTACAACTTGGAATGAACCAACCTTTACTTGCTGTGTAGAATGCTTTTTCAAATGTTCTACTGAAGTACCCTTAATGAGGCAGAGTGTGGTCTTGTATCAAAAAAGGAATATCCATAAAATAGTCTTGAATCGAGATAAGATCACGGGTCAGATCATCATCTACTTTCTATTTGTTAAACTGAATCACCAGTATAAAAACTAAATTCTTCTGATAAATCTTTAACACTCTGCAAATTATGTAACGTAATCAATTCTTGTTGAAAATGATTTGGATGATTTAAGTGTAACTTACTTGATTAAAAATACAGTGTTCAGGCCGTTTTATGTATTACACACAGCACAAAATGTAAACAAGACTTTTCCTGGCTTTCATGATAATGTTAAAGCTATCAAGTCAAGAGGCAAGAGCTGGCCTGGGTTGAAAAGTGCATGCTACATTTCTAAAGTACAGAAGTACAGTTACAAATAATGTTTCAATAAAGAGGCATCTTCAAAGGCCAACAATGCTATTTTATTGAAAAAAGGTAACCAAAATTTAGCAACAACTGTGACTATTGTACATTTTGAACATTATTAATAGTTTATGGTAGTACCCTGAATTTTCAATCCATTTTAACATGTAGAAATACAGTCATGTACTTGTTGTAAACATACACTTAGGAGGCTAGCAAGACATTTATGAAAAAAAGTATATATATATATATACAATGCAGTGTTGAAGGTTTAAGTAAATCCAGTTTACATGCTAAAATGTGTAAATTCTTAGCTGCATTTGTTGCCTCCCATAGCACTGCTTGAACCTTGGTAGTAAATTTTCCTTCTGTTTGAAAACTGAACCTGTCACAGAATGATTAATATCACAATTAGCAACTGAAAATTTGCTCTAAATTAGAGGTTCTGCAAATAAGACGTAGGTTCACTATTTCAGTAAGACTGAGTGGAGTCCAATTTAGTCTGCAATCATACATGTACAAGTGTTTAACAAAATCAGAAAACTGTGTAGCAGGAGTCCAATTTGTTTAATCACGAGTACAGCTGTACAACACTGTATGAATACTGACTGAATTAGAGGACATGAAGGTCTGTTAGACTAATGATTAGTAATAAAAAATCATTAATCCTAACCTTTGCAAAAGAAAAGGGAAAAGGTCAACACATGGACAGTTGTATATATGAGCCAGTGCTAGTGCTTTTGTATAAATTGTGACTAAATAAACTCGTTGCTTGTTGATATATAAATTGTGGTCATCGCTGTACAAAACAGTCAAGTAAATAAAAAAAATTGAAGAGTTAAATTTTGATATCAATAATACATTGCAACGGACTAATGTCATGTTGAAATATTGTGATCAATGTCTCTTTTACATGTAGTACTGGCACCTATCAAAGCAGTCCACTCATCTTCATTACCACGAGCCAAACCATTTTATAAGCCACTCTCAAATGAAGCTGTATATTTATCAACCAGAACAGAACTAAATCATAGGAATTACATTGTATACAGTGTGTAAAATGAACATGCAAGTGCAGTTTTGGCGATGCAAGCATAAGCAAAAGAGATTATAGGTTGGTGAGGATGGCCTTAACAGAAGCACAAGAATAAACACAAGAATAAAACGTAAAACCGTACCTTGTGGAGAATTGTTTCTAGCTTTGCCGCTGAAGGGTCCAGTTTGATAAATTATCAAATCCTAAATCCTAATTATTAGGATTTCCGTACGGCCCCACTCATACATTATGCTTGCAGGAGCCATTTTCATACTATTTTACACAAACAGTTGATGTGAAGGGAATCGAAACATAAGACTTAAGCTTACATGTAAGCTTAAATGCGTAAAATATGATCTGAATATTGCTGTACGGAAATATTACACGTGCAGTGTATGAGTATCTTGTTAGCTTTAATCTGTTACAATGCTTCGCTACATATCGTACCTCACTGTACACTGTAAAGACTGGTCCATCTTCCGCTTTGATGTAGGTGACGATCTTTTTCCTTGTAAAACTATCACAGCACTGTAAATTCCTAAAAACTCGCCTTGAAGTTGAAAATGATGGCTGTTGATTACTCGATCAAAGTTCGATTGGTTTTTGGCGCTCACGCTGTAAAAATGGTCAGCAGTGATGCTCGAATTAGAGGCGCGGTCGCAAGGCAAACCGGTTTGAGGGCGGTTCAAATTGAAACTAACGGCTTCGCTAGTGTTGGGTTTTGTTCGCTCTGATTGTAAGTTTAGGAAGAATCTTCGGATTCAAAACATGTTTTAACCTTTAACGCAAACGTTTAAGAAACGTCACTTGTTGCGCGACTGTGAGGAACCATAATCGATCGCTTTTTGTGTAACATGTAACGAAAACTTCGCACCGCTGATATGAGATCATCGGCTGGATTCGGTAAACGATTTTAGGTGAGTTTTGTTTTTAATCATTCTTAAGTAGTGCTTGTTTATTGTAGATTACTTGCTACTAAAGCGAAATAATCAAAGTTTCGTCGTTGTGTGCTGGGGCACAGTCAGACAGAGCCGCGATTACAGTTCAAGTTGATCATGATGTAGGAAATATAAGCTTTGAGGAACACAATGTGACAGAGGCTGTGCATGGTCTTTGTTAAGTTTATTTTTACCGAAATGATGTTTGATGGACATGACGATCCTTTTTTCAAGCGACAAATCAGTTTCTTCGACGAACGGATTCACTCGGGGAAAGCCATACAAGGGTCATGACCTTGATCAGAACAGAAATGAAAGAAGTAAATTGTTTAGACACCAGATGTGCATGTGACCAAAATGAAAGTCTTGCTTGACACAAAAGTCTCACTATTCTAACCTTGAAATTGTTATGCATGAGTCAATTCCAGCTGCGACCAGAGTTATAATTTATGTTATGAATAGTTTTATAAATATGAAAGGATGCTTTTCAAATAATATCAACAGAAATTTGATTTAATGACCAAAAACTCTTATTCACTTTGATAGCTCCAGATTTCGCTATGTAATTCTGGCTTGATAAGCAATGAAGAAATGCATGCATGCATAAAATCAAGAACTTGCCTTTACATGGCCTTTGAGCCAATCTGTTTTCTTTCCCAGTGAAATCCTTTGTGTAGTTATATTCTGATAGGAAACAACGTGTGTGTCAAAAGCTCGGGAATGGCTGAGGGGTTGGCAAATGCCCGGCCCCCGGGCAGCACAAAAATTTGCAAATGCCCCAGCCCCGGGACTGACAAGGCGGGCAAATGCCCTGCAGTAGCCTGGGGGGGCGCTGGGCGCAGCTGGAATTGACTGATCCATTACTCCGTTGTTCTGATCATTAAGCACTAGAGCATATTATTTTCCTTCAAAGTAGGGGATTCTTTTTTTAATAGGGAAGAAGTTTCAATCTTTGTCTACACTACTGTATCTGGCTTAGCTAGGGTAGAAAAGTTGAACTACAGTATGCTATATATCAGGGTTCGCAAATACACCAAATTTGGCGTATTTTACGCCAAAATTGTTCAGCTGACTCCACAGAGGTCACTTCGACTCCAGAAATTTTCGGTAACAAACAGGGAGCCACTTCGACTCCAGAAATTTTCGGTAACAAACACAGTTTTATCCTTACCTTTTTTGCAACAAATACAATTTACGTTAATTGTTAACGTTGTAAACCTTAATTAAATCATCAAAATTAAAGAATTATACTGCACGACAAAACAGGAAGAGGGTAAATTACGATCAAAGTTTACTCGATGACCGCCATCATGGATTTGAGCTTTCCAGGTCAGCGGACCGCCACAGCTACTTTGTGTATCCATAACGATAGTGTATACATGCCAGGACCACGTGCTGGAAGGTCTGAAAATGGCTTTTTTCGTTGTGATACTTGACTCCAAATATTCCAAAATGACTCCAAAATTTGTGAAGCAGAAGTCACAGTGACTCCACTCATCAATAAAATTTGCAAACCCTGTATATATGGTTGGCTCTGCTGATGGAACTGTTCAAAATTCATTCCAACAAACCTGACAACAGTAAATTACATGTATGTATTAAAGCAGATTGTTTACAATCATGCCAGGGTAAGCAGGGATGTAGCCTGTGTACAAGCGCCCCCTCTCCTCAGTAAGAATCAGAGAAGGGGCGTCTGTGATTCACCATTGGTAATCGTGTATGGAGGCCACGTGATTTTTCCTGGAATATGTGGAAAATGATTTGATTGGCTTTAGGGCCTGTCATCAAAACTCAAGCAAAACAATAATGCTAAGGTCACGTTTCACACTATCATGAGCTCATGAGTCATGTCTGACTTGTCAACACTTTATTTCAAACTAATGACTTCCCGTATCCAGTGGGAAGGCTTGCATAAGAACATGGATCTTTTCCTTCAATATGGGCTCGTAAGAACATTTTTCTTGCTCGGTATAGAGTAATCCTATTTTAGAAATGTGTCACTCTCTCAGTTACTCGATGGAAATAACACGCACGCACCGACATTTTGAGAACTGGAATGACATGAAACATGAGCCATGGAAATTTTGGTCAGTGGAAACAATTTTTTTAATTTATGCAAAGTTATTCCCATTCACGATTAGCAACAGGGAATCACAGACGCCCCTTCTCTGATTTTTACTTAGGGGAGGGGGTGGTCTGTACACAGGCTAACAGGGATGTGGTTAAGAGCTGGCTGCCAGCTAGTTCAACCAGCTGAAAAAGAGCTTACCACCAGCTGAATTTGCAAACCAAACCAAAGACATATGGGAATTTTAGAGACGCAGTAGTGCAAAAAAGCCGGCTTGACCTTTAACAAAGCCTGCTTATCCATATATTTCATTAATGAATCGGTTATTTTAAAAATAATGATATCCTTTTTGTGTGGTTTGCGTCATCAAAACCATTGTTTTATTATTTAAGGATGGATCAAATGTTCTACATGAAATCTTGACATGATTCTGCTGTTAATTTTGTTTAGATGTTGCTGCATTTCAATATTCATTGTATCACTGTACTTACAAGATGGATCTGATGGCTGAGGCAACAACAGTGACCAAAGATAAGATTTACATTTTTTGTTATTGTAACACAACAACTTTAGTTTTCACTTAAATGATTTGTCTTGTACAGCTGTTCATTTGCTATTAGCTAAAATAAACATCTGTATTGGCCTTGAAAATGAGCTTTTTTTATTTCATTGAAACTTGTCCAAACTAAGTAGGATGGAACCCTTGAAATTTGTTGTTCATTTTCAATGGTGAAATTTGGTACGTCATGATTGTAGCCTGGAGAGGAGATACAGTACATGTATTCCAGATGAATTTTGTATTGCAATGACACTTTTTTTGTCATTAATGGCCTTATTTACACTGTAGTACACCATACTAAAGTGCAGTCAAGTTAAAATGCAGACTGCAGACTGTGCAGACTGTAGATTTTTTTTAAATAAGCCCTGAGAATAGTAATTAGGGTTAAGCACTGACTTGAAAAACAGTTAGCTTTTATTTAGGGTTAGGGTTGTTGCTACATGTATATAGCTTCAATTTAACCAGCCAACAAATCCTCAGTGATGTATTTGATTTAACAGTCGAGAGTAGTTTAAGACTAAATTTTCATGGTAGCCATGTCTTTGTCTTTCCCATGAAAAATAAGAGAGGGCCATAATTCATGGGTAATGAAAATGTCATCAAAAGCCATTTCATTTTTTCATGACCCATTAATATTCGACCGTTCACGGAAAAATCATGGTTTTTTATGGGGCATGAATTTAACAACCCCATGAAAAACCCATAAATTCCGACACCATGAAAAAAGAGCTTTTTAATTCATGGCTTTTTCATTATCATTAAAAAGCCATGAAAAAAAATTAGCGGGTTTCATTCTATTTCATGGCATTTTCATGGGATTTTTGTTTGTTAAAGTTTTTTCATGGGCCATGAAGCGTTGAATTTTAAGGGGTTTTTTCACGCTTTTTTCATTTTATTTTCATGGCATGTTCCCCATGAAATACCAATGAAAATTCCCCATCAAAATCTCCTGAAAAACCTGTGAAAAACATGTGAAATTACCATGAAAAATTTCACTGGATTTTCATGGGTTTTAATTTCATAGTGTACTCTCCTTGTCATTTTACCATAATTTTGTGTTGAAGATGTGGCATGTTTATTATCATTGTTATTCATTATCATTCATTATCATCATTATTATCATTATCATTATCATTATTATAATCATTATCATTTAGATGAATTTAAAATTGAATCGAAAGGTACCCCTTTCGCATACCTTCTATTGAAAACAGTACCCCTTTCACAAACATGTACCTTATAATAAGTTTAGAATTTTGCATTCCTTTTTTAACTTTCTTACCATAATTTAAAAAAGATGTCACGATCACGAAATAGGGATTTTTTTTTTTTTAAATATTTTTTGTGCATTATTTTTTGAAAGAAGTCTTCACCATCCAGCGACATAACAACATATCAAGGAGTACAGCAAATTATGTCAAAGTTTTGAAAAAGGAGAATACATGACTATGATGTAAACACATGTTGTCTGATTTGCGATTTGGGTAGAACCAAAATCCACGGAAACCTAACCTGAGATAAGGCCCGATTTTGGCGGTTCTCAAACATTCTCTAACGAAAATTGAGCCTGGTCTCAGGTTAAACCAAAATCCAAGGAAACTTTATTTTCAAATAAGCTCCCCAACCGTCGGCCCTTACTTACTTCTGATTTTACCAGTGAATTGTGGTGTTGCAGGCTTTGAGTTTGAAACTGGCAGAAACAAAATAACAAAAAAATGGAGAACGGTTTTATCTTAATCCACAAGAAAAGCATAAGACGTGATAAACATGGGTAATTACAAAGGAAAAGCCAGAAAAAAAACAAAACAAAACAAAACAAATATTTACTAGCTTTGCTAACCTCAGCAGGCGCTGACCGATTTCCTAAACGAGCGTTCAAGGGGGGGTCATCGGATATATGCTCCCCTGGGAAATCTTGTAGATTTCAACTCCCTAAAGTCCCCTTTCCTGGGTTTCCGAATCATTCAGACAGGATATTGGCCAATTCCATTCACCTTGGATGAAGCCTTGCAACTTGGAAAGTCCTTATTTATTTATTTATTTTATTTTTCATTAAAAATATATATGACCGATTTCCTTAAAACGGTTGAAACCGTTGTGGACCTGCGCCTGCTCGGAAACTGGTAAACTGTGGCGTTGTGGGCTTTGTTGTCGACACTGACAAAAAGTTACAAAATGGAGAATGGTTTTATTTAAATCCACATGACAAATAATCCCTCATTTTTCCTCAGTTCTAGTTGAGCAAGTGACATTTACGATCGCCCATTCAAATCGCCACGCTAGTAGAGGCAAGACGTGAAAAAAGAGAGAAAGTCACCTTTCTCGCTGGAGGCAATTTTCACACGTCGCGATTTCGTTCGCTTAACTTTCACTGAGGACAATAAAGGGCTACTCGTTATAGTACCTCGGAAGTAAATGTACTAGACTAATTAAGATGCTGTAACTGAAATAAATGAATCAAATTAATTAATACATTAATTAATAAAGCAATTAAGGGATTTATACAGGAAGAGATTCTAGTGGAAGGGGTAAAACTATTCAGAAACGTTACATGTGGTCGACATTTGCTTCAAAACGCACGTAATTAACACACTGCATAATTTCACCTGGTGTAGCACTTGGCAATCCGTTGCCACAGTAACGTGCAATGGACATCGGGACACAAACAGGTGCTCGTTTAAGTTTGTAAACGAAGAATCCTCCGCAGTTACGAACGGTGATGGAAGTTGAAAATTGGCAGCAGTCGCTGAGGGAACTGAAACAAACAAATCGATTGACTGCGCCATCAGCCACTGTAGGATGGCTGCCATTAAGCCAACCCGGCCTCTGTGCCCTGCAGTGACGATAGGGAACACATGAGTCAGCCATTTGATCACCAGCGCCGCCTCCAAATCGGTACCATCCATCCAGTTTTAAATCGTACAATGAAGACCACGCCCAGCTGGTGTTTCTGAAGGTCCTAGCTCTGTCTGACTCGTTAAGAAAGGTATATGTAAAACACTCTGCAAGAGAAAAAACGGTCTTGTAGTCATGACCCCTGTACGTGTGAGTGCTCCCAGGAATTCTTAACTGGTGGGATGTGCCGCCCTGTTCTCTAGTCCATTAAGACATTGTTAAAGCCTGACTTTTGTTATTGTTTTTTAAAATAATAACAAAAGAAAAATAGCCGGATTTTTGAAAACGTTAGCGCCAAAATAAACAGACCTCTTCCTTAAGAAAATTTTTTTTTTTTTGGAAAACCTCCAAAACCTCTAAAGTATGTATTATAAAAACTAAGGGTTCAACTATTGCGCTTTTCTTTTCTCTTAAATATTAGCTTCCACAATGATATATTTTAATCGCAGAGGTAAGGGTTCGATTCCCGGTCAAGCCTGATTTTTTTCAGGATCTTTTTTCAACCGCTATGTTGTTCATTATACTGCGAAAATCACGTTTACTGTCATTGTTTATTTTCATGGTTTCGATCAATCTTGAACTCAGACAGGTTTATAATTAATTAACGATCACCAACGTACTTGCTTCAAGCAATCAAGGCAAACGTAACGATCCGAATAAAGGTTCTCCTTACAATCCGTCCGTCTTCGCTTCCCCTCGGGTGAAATTTCGGTCGTGTGGATGCGAAATTTCACCAAAATGGCAAAGAGATTTTGTTCGACTCAACGGAAATTCCCGGGCGCGTCAACGAAATTTCGTAGCGAACTTTCGTCGAATTTTCTTGAGAACAAAGGACGAAATTCAGCGAATTTCGCTTTCATTTCTTTTGCAAAGAACAGTAAATAAAAAAAACCAACGAACAAAAACAAACAAACAATTAAGATGCCGGGCTTGGTGGATCTAGCTAGTCACAGCAAAAGCTTTTGTACGCAACGTAACAAGCAACCGCTGACTTTACAGCTGTAAGGTCATATATTCTTCCAATATTTTGTTATGAACGCCTGACTTCTTCAGGAAATGACTAAATTAAGTGATAAAAAGGTCGTGATCCTTGACTATCATTATCATTATCATCATCAGCAGCAGCATCAACATCAGCATCAGCATCATCATTATCATCGTAATCGTTATCATTATCATATAGTTGAATTTAAAGTTTTCGCAATTGGCCTTTAGTTCGATACCTCTTTAGCAGTGGGTTTGCGGTCTCCTACCCAAATTATGGCTCCTGAAGTGAACCTTATTTTTAGATAATATCCTATATCACCGTTATAGTGCCCGAACTCACCTCTGATTTTACCATGTGGTGTTGCAGGCTTCGATGTTGAGACTGAAATTAAATGAAAAATAAAAAATGGTTTCACCTATTAATAATCCATATGGAGAGTATAAATTGTAAACAAAATAAAAACAAACAAACAAAAATTTGTTGCTTGAGTCACGATCCGACTAGTTAAAGAGAAAGGCTAAGAAAACCAAATATCTTAAAATAACGTTCTAATCCAGTTATGGTAGTTTTTCTCACCTCGGAAACCAATCAAGTGGGGGTGAACCACGCTTAATTGTTAACAATGACACGGCGAATGGTTTCATCTAAATCCACATAACAAAAATCCCCCTATGTTCCCTCAGTGCTAGTTGAGGGAGCGACATTTGAGAGTAAAGCGCCTCGGTTGAGTCGAGGTTAGACGCGGAGGGTGTCGATGTCCACGCGCACTCACGAATTCGCTACCGCAAGTAGCTGAACTGAAGTGATATCTAAGGGAAATTGACTAATTGCGTTCGAGGTACGAGAACGCAACCCCTAATTTGTGTTGGGTGTTCTGTGCATTATTGGGTGTCCTGTGCAATTAATAAGGGAGATTTTTTTGAGAATGCATTTTTGTCGTCTACACACATTTTCCTCGCTTGGCGCTTGCTTACGATTTGCCTCACTTTGACGCGCTAACTCACGTGGTGATTCTTGTGTCCGTGGCGTTCATCTCTCGAAGCGGTTTGCTAAGGTCTGATATTCTTAATCGTAAAGCGTTCATCTTTTAAAAAGTTTGCTGAATCTTCGCAAAGCGTACATCGATCTGTGTTTGCTGAATCGTCCAAAGCGTTCATCTTTCAGAAGTTTGCTGTTAAAGTTTACTTTGGATTAAGCCGTCATATTTTTCAGCATGGTTCGTCACTGTCTTTGGAAAATGTCTGCGACTCCTGGTGCATGCATCAAACCGGGTTTAGTTCCGCGGCCGTTGTCCCAATAGACTGCGAGCAGTCTCCTATTTTTCTTTGCACAGTTACTGCAGGCGAGCGGCAAAGCCGCGAGCCGCGAGACACGAGGGCGTAAGCCCGAGAAGAAAAAATCTCATTCTCTTTAGTAATAATAACGTCGTGGTTTGCAATCATGCTGGATGAGATAAGAACTAGACGGATTTAAAAGAGAAAAGGCGGACTGCAAGCAGTCTATTGTACCACAAGGTAAATTTACCGAGTTGTGTAGCTCGGCGGCCAATGTGTCACCAAGTGAATCCTCCGAGTTGTGTAGCTCGGCAACCGTTGTGCCACGAAGTAAATCTACCGAGATGTGAAGCTCGGCGGCGCCATTTGATCATTCTTGTGATATTTTCGGCACTGGACAAACGAACACTTTAACTCTACGTTATTTATTAGGAAAACCCTATGAACCAGCCCACAGCAGCGTTATTCTCGAGTCACTGAAATCAACACGCTCGACCAAATTACTGGAAAAGTTATTGACGTGAGCCGCACACACATTCCATTAAAGGCTTTGACAGAGTTTGTGCGAAGTTTGAATTCAGATGTGAAAGCTTTTAAAACAATAAATTCAATTTAATTCATTTTGTCAACAAGTTGATGATTGGGTGCTCTTAAAAATAACAGAGAAAATTATCCCAAGAAATGTTTTTGAAGAAAGAAAAAGAATCCCGGGTTAAGCACTAATCGGCCTTTGAGCAACTGAGCCCTGTAATCGCGCCAGTAAAACAAAATGTTCTATTTACACGCCCGACGCACTCTGGGCCAGTGTCTCCTCCGATTACAAGCACTTGACACCGAACAATACGATATCTTTTCAAAACCTTCTTATAATGATAAACAGTTTAAATGGAGGTTTCGCTGTACGCAACCCTTACGTTCAAAATATGCCATAATCATATTCATCTATATCGCAACCACCCTTCCCCCCCAACTGCTACCTGTACGCCTAAAAAAACATATCGAACGCACTCTCCTAAGCTGCGATTACTCCTAGTCGTAGTATTAACAAATTTAAACCTCAATGACGGTTACAATGAGCGGAGCCCCATACCTAAGAAAATTTCGTGATCTATCAATCCAGGAAATTTTGGTAATCACGTGACCGTACGTCCGTCCGTTTATCTGCAACCGCAGGGAAACCAAACTTTCTAGCTAGTGTGAAAGCCTGTAACCTATGTTTATTTTGATAATAGACATCCACATATTATTACATTATTGACAGCTTTTAAAAATGGTATCCACGGACCAGAACATGACGGACACCTGAACATGATTCTATCACATGACCAGAAGGCGGAGATCCCATGAGATAGCACCGCGCTTGCGCAAGACATTGCACGATTCGCGCTCAACGAGTAAACCTCGTTCTTCAGATAACACCAGAATTTCTTTGGTTTTCTTACACGTATAACTGGAAAGTCTAACGTAGTTGGTCTCAGTTACACCCAGCTCAGGCGATAACGCAGTTAGGGGCCAGTAATTAAGCGACCACGGCTCAAAATATGCCACACACCCCGGACGACGTTGGGGTGTCACTGCCGAACAGGGTCAATCGTCAGAGAGGGCCTCTGCGAATACAGAACATGCGAACCTGTTTACGGCTGCTATGGCTCAGTTCGTGGGTCAGATGACGAAACTTAACGAAAACGTCAGTTTGCTGTTGAGCGGTCGCGATCCAGAGTCGGAGGAGGACGGTGAAACCGCCTCTGTCGAAGCAGTCGAAGACTCTGACCATGAACGAGTGGATATGGAAGCCAGTCTATCTGCTATCCTGGATTCTAAGACCACGGACAAAAAGCGACTAGGACAGGCGACGCTTTTTTCCAAGAGCTCGCTCAAGATCTCTAGGTCTGAAGAGCAAACCTCCCCTCCAATTCATGAAGGCCTGACGGGTAATTTAACGGGCTTTTGTCAGAAAAGATGCCCGATGACAAGATCAAGGCGAAGCTAGACAAATATACACAGCCTGAAAACATCAAAGGCTTGAGAACGCCGAAGGTTAACCCACTAATTTGGAACCAGCTGTCCGCCACGTGGTGACCTCTCCAAACTTGCCAAGGACATTTCCGAAGCCAACAAGTTAACTAAGAAGGTTCGCCCGCCGCATTCCACGAATTCCAGCGGTGACAAGTACGGGGGACGCTCAAGTTATGGTTCGAGCCAGGGAAACAGAAGATTTCATCCCTACTCAAAAGGGAAGCCCGATGATTTTTTAGGCAAAAGCCGTTTCTCCAAACAAAGAAAGAAAAAGGACGGAGAGACGAGTCAGCGGCAATGAAAATGCCAGAGGTATGTGATGAAAACATGACTCTTCCTAAAGGCCTCGTGCCTAGTATACTAAGTATACTCAAATTAAAAACTAAATTTCAAGCAGGACAGCTCCGTAATTTTTTCCTACCATGAAAAACTGTAACAACCGATCCCACTATACTTCAATTTGTTTCCGGGGTCAAAGAATTTCGAAACAATTTTCTGCCCACGCAACAACATAAAAGACCCAGTGTTTTTAATACTAAACAGCATGCTTTTGTTAAAGCGGAAATCGATAAACTGCTCGCTAAAGGTGGTATTATACCGGCGGCACAAGAAATGGGGGAGTTTATCTCTACCATATTCCTTAGACCGAAAAAGGATGGCACACATCGCACCACTCTCAGTTTCAAAGAGTTTAACGAATTCGTAGCTTATCATCATTTTAAGATGGATACCCTAGAGGCGGCCATCAGCATGATGAAACCAGGCTGTTTTATGGCATCAGTTGATCCCATTCACCCCTCTCACCAGAAATATCTCAAGTTTTGTTTCGACGGCGCTTTCTATCAATACACTTGCCTACCTAACGGTCTTGCCAGTGCACCTCGTATTTTCACAAAATTACTCAAACCTGTCTATGCTACAAGTCACAGCATGGGTCACTTAAATTCGGGCCGCATTGATGATTCTTATCCACAAGGGGATATTGTTGAGGACTGTCAATAAAACGTTGGAGACACTGTCGCGTTATTTACCAAACTAGGGTTTTTCATACATCCAGAAAAGTCGGTTTTCGTCCTTACCCAGCGGTTGACATTCTTAGGGTTTGTTGTGGATTCGATTGGGATGACAGTTACGCCTACCGAAGCAAAAATTCAGAAAATCAAATCTATTTGCTTTTACTATGAACTGGAGCCAGTGGTTACAAATTTTATGCATTTCCACCTTTCAGCCTCCTTCCCAAATGTTTACAGAAAATCAGACAGGACAGAGCGCACGTAATACTCATTGCTCCTCTTTGGCCAACACAAAAGTGGTTCCCTCTCCTGCTGCAATACCTCTGCGACCAACCTTGGATTCTGCTCCCACACCCTTCACATAGTCGACCCCACCAGCTGCACAAGAAACTCCACCTAATGGTATGTCCTGAGGAAAGGGGAGCCCTCAGCCACCACAAGTTTTCAGAAGAGGTTACCGATGTGCTTATGGCCTCTTGGAGGTCAGGCACGCAGAAACAGTACCATACCTATCTTAACAAATGGATGGCGTTTTGCGGTGAGAGGAAGATTGCTTACTATTCACCACCGCTAAATGAAGTCCTCCAATTTCTTGTGCGACTATTTAATCAAGGACTGAGTTTTTCCGCGCTAATAACTGCCTGCTCCGCTCTTTCTGCAATTATTATAACAGAAGGTGGGAGTCTTTCGGTACTAATCGCGTTGTAACTCGATTTATGAAAGGAGTCTTTGAATCACGACGACCAAAACCTAAATACACGAAGATTTGGGATGTCGGAGTAGTTTTGAAACATTTGTCTACGTTATGTCCGTATGACAAATTGGCATTGAAATATTTGACGTATAAAGTTCTCATGTTAATCTTACTAGTCTCGAGTCAACGAGGACAAACTGTACACTCTTTAGATCTTAAGCACCTTTGCGTGGAAGAGGACAAATACATATTTGACATTGATGAACACATGAAGACCAGTAGTCCAAGGAACCCTAAATACAAGAATCGAAATAGCTAGATATGAGCCGGATGTTTCCATTTGTCCTTTCACTTGCCTTAGGGCGTATATTAACAGCACAAAAGTTTTGCGTAAAGATGAAACGAAATTATTTGTTAGTTATGTTAGGCCACATAAACCCGTCTCAAGGGACACAATTTCCAGGTGGACTAATAAGGAAACCCTCCACCTTCGTGGGGCGGATACCAAAGTGTTCTCCGCCCATAGCACTAGGTCGGCCTCTGTTTCAAAAGCCAGTGCCAAAGATGTCCCTATTCACGAGATCATGGCAAGCGCTGGCTGGAAATCTGCAGAGACTTTTCATAAATATTACAATAAGCCTGTTATTCAAGAAAACAGTGTGGCCTCTGCTGTTCTGGGCGCTAGCCCACACTAGGCCTTTCGACATGTCTACTTTGGACCTGGTCGGGATTAGCAAATTAGCAAGTTTACATATAAAAAAAAACAAACAAACAAACAAAAGAGATTATGATGTATTATATTGTGTTTGTTATTGGGGTTGCTTTTGCCGGAGGCTACTCCTGCATATGGCCTTGGGTTATCTGTATCTCTCGTTGGGCCTATCGCATGGGGGCATCAACCCTTTGAAGTCTCATGGGATCTCCGCCTTCTGGTCATGTGATAGAATTGGGAAATTAAACGAGACTTGCCAGTAAGTTGAAGTTTGATTGAGATTCTATCACATGAAAACAGAAGGCGAGAGATCACATGCCCTCCGCTATCATACCCACCCTATTCGTTTATACTTTCGGGTATGCCATTTGATACTATGCTGACGCGCCTATTACGTGTCTTTGCGTTGCAAAAGTTGCAAAAGACTTTTGAGAAACTTTTTTTTGAGACATTGAATTAATCAGGGTTGAATTGATGTAGTCACGTGAAACCTGACGTCATAATGATATTAAAAAAAAAAGAAATTCAAAATGGGGTAGGAATGGTTGATTACAACTAAGTTTGAACCATGTGTAAATGTTTGTTTTACCGTAATAATTTTTTTTCCGTGGTCGAAGCGGAGAGGATATTCAATTTCTTAAAAAGATATCAACAGGTGTAAAGTGTCACGTGACCTATTCCGGTCAGATTTAAGCGAGAAATGATGATACAATGACAAAAATACTGTATTTTATATATACTATGTGGCATCTCGCCACCCCATTTTTAGTTTTCTTTTCTTTCCCGGACTGGACCATAAGTGGTCACGTGACAGAGATATCTGATTTCTTACGTTACAGGAATTTTAAGGTTACCGATATTTCCGAGGTTGCCAAATTTTGAAAGGTTCTGATAAATTTTCACAAAGTTATGATCATCATAAGATTTTTTGCAAATTGGCCGCAGGCCATGCCTTAACATACTTGAGAAAACTATTAAAAGAAAAAAAAGAAAAAAAAAACGCTTCATTTGATAGACGCATATTTTCAAAACGCACGCAATTAACACAATGTAATTTTCACCTGGTGTAACACTTGGCAATCCATTGCCACAGTAACGTGCTTTATTCTTACACGAAGGTGGCCGTTTGAGTTTGTAAACGAAGAATCCTCCGCAGTTACGTACGGTAATGTTGGCTGAATTATAACAACACCTGTCTGGAAGTGGGCATGCGGCACTGAAACAAACAGATCGATTTACTGCGCCATCAGCTACTGTAGGATGGCTACCATTAAGCCAACCTGGCATATCTGTTCCGCAGTGAGAACGGGGAATGCAGGAGTCAGCCATGTGATCACCTGCGCTACCTCCAAACCTGTACCATCCATCCAGACTTGAGTCGCACTTTTCAGAAAAGCTGCTGCTGTAGAAGGTCCTAGCTCTGTTTGACTCGTTAAGAAAGGTGTAGTTAAGACACTCTACAAGGGCGAAAGAAAAATAATAATGGCTTTCCATTTACCACCCTTGTGTGAGTATTATTAGGAACTGGTTGAGTGCATGTGCCGTTCGGTTTTCTGGCGTTTGCATCTATCTCCAGTAAAAGACGCAAACATTTTGACCTATATTAAGGTCGTCCTGACCAGTGGGGTTCAGGCATATACATGGTGAGGTGAGTAAGGATTTGGCGACTTTTTTCTGCTCGATAATTTTGTCTTCCAGCTATTTAATAAGTGCAGGTGACATACCTTCGAATGATGAATCGATTAAATAAGAAGGTTCAACCCGGTGGGGGAGGGAGTAATCCCCTATAAGGCAAGGCAGGTTCCGCCAGAAAGGAGTAGCTTTTTCAGGACCCAGATATGGAAATACAGGGTATGTATGAAAGGGAGAGAAAATCTGTCATTTCGGTCAATATAAAAGCCTACATTCCTAACAGATACATTAATTTTTACGGCAGTAAAAAAAAAAGCAAACGTTCTGGCTTTAAATAAAAGGCAGTGCATTTACAGCAGTTGTTTTTTATGCAAAGTTGCATTTTAAATATTTACTGTATTGCTTTTTAACTATATTCATATATTTTTTGTAACATCTTGTAAAATTACTTTCTGTTTCCTTAATAAATCTCTAAGAGAAGAATACTCAAGTCGCTTTGTTCTTTGCTTTTTTGTTACTACAGTTAACTAGTTAACAACTTTGCATCAAATATAACTGCTGTAAATGCACCGCCTCTTAAATATGATATAAAGCTCCAAACCAGAACGTTTTCTGAACTTTTTACTGCCATAAAATGCATCTGTTAGGGATTTTGCTTTTTTATTGACCGAAATGACAGATTTACTTACCCAGTTTCATATATACTTCAACAGGTGAAAACCCTGTCTTTTCATATTCAGGGCCTGGAAAAGCTATACCAGGCGGAGGAAGGTGTCTCCAAGGAAATCTGTTGTACAGTCCGCCTGCCAGTATGACGTCACGTCTCGCGTCAGTGACTTTCAAAATGGCCAGCAAAGTATTCATCGAAGAGACGGATAAAAATTTTCGATTTTATCACGGAAATACCGTTCCGATTTTTTTGGATTTGGAGATTTTAAGGTTTCTATTGTCATAAAAAACTAGATTTAAGTGCTTTTTTGGAATGAAATGTCCAGTGGTGTAATGAATTGTAAAGATTCCTTTCTATCGTCAAGCAAATTGTACGGGCAATATAATCATACCGACCGGTCACACTTTTGAGGGCCAGTGCACAGCAAGATTGAGGAGTTTAGACACAGCAATAGGAGGTTCATCAAAGGATGTATTATACTTTACATTGTGCGTATTTTCAGCTCTTCAGAGCTAGTGAAACCCCGTATCATTCCTCTCAAAGTTCGCTTAGCTGTAGCGTTGAAAGGGGAAGCTAAATGACAGGTATTTGTGAGACACTGTGTGCATTGAATGTTGTTGCTTTATGGCATTTTATTACTGTATTGGGCATACACCTGTAATTCTGTAATTAAATCCCGAAAACGAATAAAAAGTTTCGCTTAATTATTTGGGGGGGCAAACCCAGCGGAGATTTTAGGGTAATAATATTGATGATTAAGACGATGTACAAAAGGCAAATTTAACTTTCACCAGTGGGTCACTGTTGGGTGTTGGGTGTAAATTAGTACAGTTTGTGGTGTACTGTGTGTGTTTGTCATGATGTCAACTAACATTGAAAAAAATTCAGCTGTTTCAGAGGAGGGACATGTCTTGACAGCTTATGCTTTTTACGTGGTCGTAACCTTGGCCAGTATGCAGATCAAGAGCTTTTGAAATCCCTTTTCCAAAATAAAACTCCGGACTTAAGCTTAACATATATATTGATCCAAGTGCATGACCAGCAGGGTCTGCAGTAAGAATAAAGAAAAAAAGGCCAAAAGGAAAAATAGTGTAAAAAAAATAGACCAAACAAGGGAAAAAACGGTACAAAGAAACAGAAAGCAGCGTCGCCGGGAGTGGAACCCGGTTTAACTGCACGTGTAAGCGAACTCCTTGACCAGTACTGCACCACAGTGACACGTATGATTTGAATCAGTAATTTTTCCGAATTTTGTCATATCAAAACAATTTTTCTCTGCCATAGACGCTGTTTGAAGCTGGTGGAGCTGTATTTATCATGAATTCAAATATACATTTGAGGAAAACTAGCTTAAGCGCGTATTTCAAAGCTATTTCGCATTATTTCCGGTTCAACGGGCGGACTCGATGTAGATAATCGACCGAACTAGCTTTACTGAATTTGTTGGAGAATTAGCAGATCAACAGAGGCCCGCACTAGAAAGATGAAATATAAACATGCATGATCTGTGAATGGAACCTCCTATTCTGACCTATTCTGGAGACTAGAACTTGCCTATTTTAGAGAAAAATAAGATTTAAGTTTTGATGACCTTGCCGGTCCCGTGAAATAGATGGCCATCTCGCAACACGGCTCGCAAAACAAATTAACAAAATTTTACGATCACAGAAACAAAATATCAAAACGGTTTACACAAGCAGATTATAGCAACACCAAAGCTTACACACATTCGATCAAATAAGCGATATATAGCGATAGTTGTAAGCTTCTTTGCTTTTCCTCAACCTCGCTCGTCCAAATAACTGTTGTATCCCTTGCTAATTTGCACAAGCGACCCGAGGCTCTTGCCCGTTACTATGTAACGTCATACTGGCAGACAGAGTGGGTCAAGAAACTTAGGTAGAAGACGATAGAGTTACCTCGGCGTTTATACGTTCTTACGTATGAAAAGCTAATAATTCCGTGACAGGGCGCGAAAAACTACTCAGAATCGGTGGAAGATTTTCAGATCTCTAGCGTGTGCTGTCGATGTATATGGAGACCCCATATGATTATATTAACGGTCACTGTTGTACTGTTTATGACTGTATTAAAATACTGGCAAAACAACGCATGTTTTAATATTTTTCCACGCTATTCTGCAGTCGGGATCGAATAAGCTAGTGTTTGATTTACCTCTCGTGTCGGTATTTCCATGTACTCGCGTTTGCCAGTTGAAGTTCAGCGTAAAAGTAACTGCAATTACGATACAGAATGCTTTCTCCGCCATTGTTAGCAGCATGCTAGCAAGTAATGAGAAGAATTCTTTGCTTCGCAGGAAGTTCATCTGACCCTGTGCATCGATCTTACGTCACTCAGCTGGTGTACATTGTCATTTCCACATTTTTCCCGCAGATAGATCGGCAGGATCCGTTTCCTTCGTTGCACGCAGACTGCGAGATAATAAGCCACTGCTGTGATCGAAATTTCCACCTATTTTCTCAAAATAAAGAACCACTAACTCAGTCTATTCTGCTCACCGGCCCACATTTCTCCTTGACTGTTTAGTATCGATAACATCACTCAATAGACCTTAAAAGAAAAACAAGTAAGAATAATAATAATAATGATGATGATGAAATAAAATTAAATAAGGAAAATAAGATTTCCTCTTCACCTTTTACCCTTTCTTCGGTCTCCTCCAACTTTCGAGAAACAACTTGCCCAAAAATGCCAAGCAGGAAACGAAAACATGGTCCAGTGGTTTACTTGGCATGGCACCTCGGTTTCAGAGATTAGGTTTAAGTTTTTTTGAAGTGCAAAGGTTAGAATGTACGTAAATTCCTTTACTGATCGCCCAAGCCTGAACCGTTACCGACTCTTTGGCAAACCTTAGACTTTCCTAAGAAAGGGGAAAAAATCGATGCACCCCTAACTCTCATGAATAATATGACCCAAATCCTGTATATGTTCTTATTGGCTCCAGAGCGAGCAAGCAAGTTGGGAGAACCGCTCGGGCGGGTTTCGCACGTTTATCCCGCTAGAAAAAGTTCTCTCAAATCCCTTATTGACCAAGCTTTATTAGTCAAGATGGCCTTACTCTTTTTTTGCGTTTTTCAATTGGCCTCTACTTCGTCTCTGTTCATCAAAAAGCGAAAAAAAAAAAAAAAAAAAAAAAAAAAAAAAACACTCTCCCAATATCCAGCTATCTTGACCTCTTGCTTAGTCAATAACGCATACACAGCCCTAGAAGTTTCATTTGAATGGTCACACCATAGAATTCCATTGGTACAAGCTCATAAGTTACTGAGTCACCTCACGATCCGCCATTATTTATGCTGATGATGTCAAGTTTTTCTTTGCTCGATTGTTCAATTCAGTTGCCCATGATTAAAAGACAATTTACATATTGTCCGCTCGCGGAATCAGCCATATAACAATTTCGCATATTAGTATTTAGTTTTACTAAACATACTTTAAATCGTAACCTCACAATTCCAAAATCGACGCGTGTTTCAAATATGTAACAAATCCCAACCGCAACATGAGAGTTAATTAAAATCTAGACGGTTACGAAATACATTAACGCTTGTGTAATCACCGATGAACGCACGTACGGATTTAAACAATTGCACATGTTCAGGTTTGTTCATTATATGCAACAAATAAGACCAAGACATTATATTTTTTGAGAAGACAGGGGCACCCAACGGCAATTTTCGGGAAAATATCTGTTCGGAAGACGATTTGAGATCTAGAATTTTCCGAGCATTTGTTGTAAAATTTCTTGCTTGCCTGCCTCTCCTAGGATTTTCGAACATCTACAAAATGGTATAATTACCCATTTTTTAACGGATTTTGACCCTAAAAAAAGCCACCTAGAATTTTCGGGAGCTTTTTCCTGGCTGAAATTTTCGAGAAGGTAAGCTTTTATCCCTATAATTTTCGGATCACTAGAGTTTCAGCTAGGAAATCCGAACAGATGAAAAGTTTTTAGGGGATAAAAATATGCCTATATCTACCGTGTGAATACTAAAATACGTTCAACAATGATATGTTAAGTGGTTTTGAACTATATCCTCGTTGGGTGCCCCTGAGAAGAACGTGGTCACTTGGGTGGGGTGAACTCAAGGGAAGTTTGGCTAGAGGTATGTCGCCGAGGCCTTCGAACCCACACCCTGTTTAAGACAAAAATTGCCCATTTCGCTATCATGTTTAAGACAGGAGACATCACTTTCTGACCTTAATTTGTTTTGTTTTGCATACAGATTTTCACGCTAGAATCGTGGAAATAGAAATGAATGGTTATCGCAGGTCTTCACACTCTTTGAAAGGCTTCCGGTCCAAAAAGACATCCTGTTCAAGAAGTTTAATAGTGAAATGGTTGGGAAAAATATAACGTACAAGCTAAAGAGATCTATTCTCTATTCTCCGCTAACGTAAACCACATATACATGTACTGTAAAGAAAGGAAATGCTAGTGAAGTAAATGCTAAAGAATGCAGTCAACAAAAAGTAATAAGTGATGCTTTGTTTATTCCGTGGCTTTAGCTGTTTAGGGGTCATTTAGGCCTTGCTGAGCTCCCGTGGACGCAGATTTTTAGTGCTGAGATTTGATGTGACATCCCCGAAACAAACAGTGCATCTGAATGAGCAAGGAAATTTTTAACAGTAACAAATTAAAAAGATAGCATCATGAAACGCGAAGAATTATAAACAGGGTTTTTACGGACTTAGTAACTACTTTGATTAAATCTTGCGGAGGTATGCAGTGTTTTTATTCTCGGAAGGATTTTCGAAGGATTTTTATTAGTAATAATTAATTATATAACCAATTTAATTGTTGTTTCACTAACATGCATCAAAGATTCACAGCACAACATTGGGGTACAAGCAGTAAAAAAAAAAAAGAAGAAGAAGAAGAAGCTTGAAATGAACTGACGAGCTCATCAGTATTGGAAACTGCCAACAATATTTCAGGATTTTTTTTTTTGTTTTTTGTTTTGTTTTTTTTTACCAGAGGAGCCCGCAATCCTACTCTCCAGGCCCAGTTGTTCAAAGGGTGGATAACGCTATCCATTTTATAAATTTCTATCCAGCGAATAAAGAATTGCTTTTTGCAATACTTATCCGCTGGGGAGTGTTATCCAACGTTTGAACAACTGGGGCCAGGTTGCCATTACGCATGCAAGGCACCTATGTAGCCAGCGTACGTACGTTGTCACGCTCGCTTAGTTGGTGGCCAGTTAAAGGAAATTAGACATGTAATGGTATAGCCTACGAGCAAGCTCTCCGGGGCGTTCTGGCGCTGGGGCGGGAAAAGGAAGTTGAGCTTGCAACTACGTCTCTGGAATTTGAATTCCGCCTTCAATTCCCCTTTAGCTCCCCGTAGACTGAGCTGTCAGATTTCCGTTAATCAGCGCAAAGCGGGAACTAGCACGAATGTAAACAAACATTGAAAAACGCGTGAAAGGTCATTGTTATCTCCCCCAATCAGCATCTCGCATCGAATCTCGCATCGACTTTTTCGATGCAGATATTCAAATTCCAGAGACGTAGTTGCAAGCTCTCCTTTCTTTTCCCGCCACGCCAAGAGAACGCCCCGGAGAGCCTGCTCGCTGGCTAGTACAGCTAAGGTAAACTGTCGATCCTTGCAACACGGTATCATTACATCAACTGGTCGTGGGCAGAATCATGATGAATAGACCTTTTTACCGATACGGTGGCCATATTGAATTAATTCGATTTAAGGAGTATTATAAGATGCCCAGGGGGCACGTGCACATTTCGTTTGTATTTTCGAGCGCTTTTCAGAACATTTTTTCTTAAAGTTTTCTTAGAATTAGATTGTAATGGGAAAAAAGATCCTTGTGCCGTGTTTGGATGTAATAATGATCGCCTTTTTCCCGAGAAATATACAGTGAAAGACCATATTTCTAATACTAAACTAGAAAAAGGCGATCATTATTACATCCAAACACGGCACAAGGATCTTTTTTCCATCACAATCTTACTCTAAGAAAACTTTAAGAAAAAACGTCCCGAAAAGGGCTCGAAAATACAAACGAAATGTGCACATGCCCCCTGGGCATCCTATAATACTCCTTAAATCGAATTAATTCAATATGGCCGCCGTATCGGTAAAAAGGTCTATTGCTCAGGTTTATCCAAAATTGCAGAAGCAGTGGATAAAAGTCCAAAAAGCAGCTTATTTTAGTATTAAGACAGGCTACTTGTCTTGGAAGATGGAAATAGGCTGACCATCCAGTCACGTGGTAACTTATAATATTCAACTTTGGAGCCCAACATGGCAGAAGCCACTGTCGTGTTACACGTTGCGTGACCACAGCGTTATCGCTGTTCTGTAGATATGAAAACAAAGTTGCTGGACAAAAACAACAACAATGAAGACGACGACAACGATAAACAAACAAACAAAAAAGCAAAAACTAATTAAACTCGCAGCAGGTTTGCCTTCTTCCAGTTGGATTTTCAGTCAAGTTATTGCTGGTTTGAATTATATGCGATTGTTTTCCTTTTTTTGACACATACATGCAACAAACCAAGCAATTAAGATAGTTGCTATATTTTGTTTTCCTTTCTTTCCTTTTGCATGCAATTCAAGGGGCAATTCAGCTTAGTTAGGGAGCAATAACATTGTAATCTAATATACGTCTTGCACTTGATCAGAGTTTCTGTGAAATTTCCATGTCGTCTTTTGCACTCCCATCCTCTGCACCTCCTTCGCATCTTACTTCCTCTTGAATTAATTGGTTCAACTTAACTCGCTTGCAAACTAGCAAATTTGAATTGATTGTGACAACTGGCGTGCCTTGCGCTACCTTTCCCGACAAAAATTTTGTTCTAGGCCCTGTCCCCTTCAAAGATCGGTGCAACCGTAGCTTTTTTTATTATTTTATTTCATTACTATTCTTTTATTATCTAAAAACACTTTATTTCACATTTACATACAAATGAAAAAAAAAAAAACTGCAAAAAAACATTACAAAATTGCAAGACTATTGATTTGTACAAAAATAAATATCATTATGCTTATACATAAAAAAAAACGTTTCGGATGTTAATTGTTGTTCAAAGTTGATCTCAGACAAGATTAGTAGAATTTCCTTTAAAAAGTTGTCTCTTATGTTTAAGGTCTTGATTGAATTTTATTTTGTTAAGGTTGCCATTGAAAGAAAGACCGTAGCCAAGTTTTCCAAGCTGAAAATAGAAAAAAAAAATTCCACTTACCCCGATTGTTTTTGTCCAGGCATTTTTAATATAACCCATGTCACCTTTAAGGCTTTGTTAAAGGATTCAACATCGACCATTTTAAGGCCACCGTCTGGATAGTTATTGATCATTATATCGAGTTTTATTTTGCCGTTTTTTCCATTCCAAAAGAGCGAATAGAAGAGCTTATTTGTCTCTTTGATCGTTGCTTCGTTTGCAGGATCCGAAGAAAATAATAAGCCTAGAGATCTTACTTTATCTTTCTGCCACTTGAAGTTTCTTTCAGGAGCAAGAATCTCGTTTTTCCCGGTGTTTGAGCCAATACATTGGCGGATCCAGGGGAGGGGTCCGGAAGCCCTTCACCCGCTTATTTTTAGACCCCAAAAAAGTTTTTTGGGCACCACCCCCCCCCTTCCTTTATCTCAGGGTGTGGATCCGGCACTGCAACCCATAGAGATCCAGTTTTATTGCTGTTTAGATTAATGCCAGATACTTCACCGTGTAGTCATCAAGTACACAAAGAGCAGCGAGAGTGACTCGCGTGCGCCATCCGGTATTTGAGTCGTGTCATCCGGACGTACTGGCTTAATTCTTTTTCTTCTTGATTTACAAGTATTCCTCTGATTTTTTTTATTTCTCCTGATTGCCTTGGCAAGAACTTCTACCGAAAGGATAAAAAGATAAGGAGATAAAGGATAGTCTTGCCTTACTCCCCGTCCAATATTTAAAAATTTCCCGCCATCTAACAGGCAAATTGTTTTGTTTTGTTTTTAAATGAATAGACATTCTATCGTATCAAAGGCCTGCTCAAAATCAAGAAATTCGAGTAGTCCTGGGCTGTTTTTCCCTTAGTAAATTGGATGACGCCGTATTAAAGGTTTCCACCTTTAAATCTGCATTTAATAACCCTGTTTGATTATACCTAATAATATTGGAAAGAACATTTTTAGGCGATTTGCGATACACTCTTTTTTTTTTTACACTCTCTTTTTTTGTTTCCGGCCTAGGCTGAATATTCTTATTTTTTCTGCCGATTTTAGGCTGAAAATATCCTTGTATTATTCTTAAATTATAGCTTATGACATTTCCGTTTTAGAATTTATTGGGGTATCAATTACAAGTGTTTGGTATCTAGATCTGTATCGCGTTACATTGTGCACATGCTCCATCGCTAGGTTTTGTTATTTAAAAAGGAAAGAATTTGTCATAATACTTTTTTGCGGTTTAGTTTATGTCTATTGTGATGAATACTGTACATATGTATTACATGCACCATTCATCGAACTGTCATTAGCGTTGAACATTTTGCTATAGCTAGTGCAGTTTTTTTCGTTTTGTTGGCTAGTTTCGCCGTTCAGAGAAAGGAATAATTTTATACGGTTAAGTTAAAAACATAAAACTGTATTGTATTTACAAATGTTTCAACATACAAAATTATATTTATCCTTTTCAAAATCTCAGCCTCAGCTTTATTCTTAAAATATTCTTAAAATTTCGCAAATTTCAGCCTCGATATTCTTATAAAATATATTCTTATATAAAAAAAAAGAGTGTAGACTCTGCAGCTATTTTATAGTCACAGTTTAGTTATAGGGTTAAACTGTCTCCAGTTCTTTAAGTAGTTGGGGTCTGAGTCTTTCTACGTACCTTGAGGATTAGTTTTATTAATGCCTCTTCTCTGGTTAATGGAAAAATGCCCGGTACCATAGCAGAATTTGAGCTCTCCTAAGAGCGTTTTGCATTTATCATTCCACAAAACTTTATAGAATTCAGCTGGTAACCCATCCGAGCCTGGTGTTTTCCTGGTCTCCATAGTTTTCAGACCTTCGAGACACTCGGTTTCTATCAAAGTTCACAGCTGTTTTGTTCCTCTTCGTGGAGGAGCGTATCATTTTCATGTCCAAAGAAGTCAGAAAGGTCAATTGACGAGTGTGCGTTTACATTTTCAGCGTATAACTTCGAGTAAAAAGAATGACACTCAGCTAAGATCTGAAGTGACAAAATTGTTCCCGTTCAGTTTTAGTTGGCTTATCCTTAACTGTTTACAGTTCTATTTTCAAGACAGACACTGAAAAGGAGATCCCTTTTTTATAGACGGGAATTACATTTGCTAATTTAAAGCTATCTGGCACTATACCAGTCTCAAAGGAGGCATCGTTGAACTTGGATATAACAGTTTTCAAGATTTTGAGGAAAATAGTGGCTTGCGAGAGCAGTGTACAAATTATTCATTCAAATTTGCATTATATTCTCAACATCTTTTTCAAATAAACAGTAAAAAATACAGACTGCAGACCAACTGGAGACCATTGTTTTCAGGGTTAGAAAACAATGGGACTGTTTCTGTCTTGTTTCAGTTGCATGGTGAAAGCAATGGTCTGCAACAGTCTGCAGTCTGTATTTTGTATTGACTGTCCTTTCAATATCAAATTTTGCCTAGTGAGAAATTTTTTCGTTAGCCTAAAGTTTGAGATATCCTTAGCCCAGTTCAAACGTCGAATTTCACGCGTGCCGAACTTAATTCCTATTTTAGTCGACTAAAATAGTTAAATACGGAATTTGATTCAAACGTGAACTCTGTCGAATTTAACTCTGTTTGCTGTCAATATTCCCAGTAATATAATAATAATTTTCTAAAATTCATGCATTAAGTTCGACACATGTGAAATGCGACGCTTGAATCAAAAGTCGAACCTAAGTCGAATCTTCGACTGTTTCAGTCACAGATACGGCAAACGTTGCATTTAATTTAAACAGTCGAATTTAATTATTCAAGCGTTGCACTTCACAAGCATTTTACTCTTGAGTTAAATTCGGCACATGTGAAATTCGACGTTTGAACCGCGCCTTACTCGGTGACATCTTCCTGAACATCAGTGTCTTATCAAATGAAACTCTATTGTCTAACCTCGAACGCACTCTACGATTACTACTAGATAAATATTATGTACAGTTTTGGTGAGTTTTATGGAAGGTGCATCTTTCTTACCCTCCTGCTTCTGTGCTTGTATCGTAAAACACGCGGTGAGAATGACTAACAACACACAAGTATATACTATCTCCATTTCTGAAAAATCGAACCAACTGACTAAAAGCAATTCTATTCCTGGTTTTAAACCAAGTGATAAGGCGGTCACGTTGGCGATCAATTCAAAAGAGTTTTTCCCGAAGAATTTACGTGAAAATAGATTTTAATTCCCAGAGGAGAGAAATGCTTTTGTTCTTGACCACCAATATGGCCGCCGTGACCTCACGTACAGACTAGCGTACGGACCAATCTGCGTTGACCTACGTAAGTGTTTGCGTTAATTAGCGTTACGTAATTTGCAACGCCACCGTGAGATCATGAGAATTTGAAGAGATAAACTACGGTTGTATTTTAACTATCAAAGAATTAAAATGTTTACCAAACCAAACTGAACAAAATGCTTCACCCTTATATATCCAGCTGTAATGCTCAAAATTTGTAGAGATACCGTAAAATTCCGAAAATAAGCCCCTCCATGTATAAGCCCCTCCAAATATAAGCCCCCCAAACCAATAACTCAAAAAACCCTCCGTTAAACCGCCTCTCCTAATATAAGCCCCCCGGGGGCTTGTACTCGGAAAACTTGCCCTCAAATACAAAGTATAACAAAGCAAAAACGATAAATTTACTTCCAACTATACGGCTAGCCCGATCGATTTTGAAACGCAAATTTCCCCCCGTGGATAGGCCCCCCCCCGAATACAAGCCCCTCCAAAAATAGCCCCTCAAAAAAGGTCTTTGAAAAATATAAGCTCCGAGGCTTATTTTCGGAATTTTACGGTATTTGAGAAACCTGTTGAGAGAGAATTCACTCCATGAGCCTTCAGAGGAAGTAGGAAATAGGAATTTGGTAGTAAGTGATGCGGAATATGAAGGGGAACGGAAATCAGCACTTATGAAGCATGGCGAGGGAACAAACTTTCAAGGCGAAACAAATAAACGATTTTTTAGATGTTATATATATAAGAAGTTTTTTAACATATTAGCAAATGTGGCGATAAAAGTTGTGGATAAGAAAGGATGTTTAGACTTACTTTTCAAGATCTAAAGATTACCCGGGTCAGCACTACGTAGCTCTTGAATCCAATCCAGCGGTTTGCT